GAAGGTGATATATGTATATATACATATATACCCGTAACCTTCGAAAAATTTTGTTTAATCATTCAATTGATGATTAAAAGGTAAGAGAAGGTAAAGATTTTTAATTCTAGTGATTACTATTTAATAAAATGTTCTACATATAATAGAAAATATTTATACATATATTTAAGTCATTTAATTATTTTCAATTTTAAAGCCACAAATATATTCATCATTTACAATATTGCCTAATAAACATGTGATTATTGCTTTTATTAAAAAAATTATAAATAACGTGAAAACAATGGATTTGTTTATTTAAGTAACATTTAATCAAAATAACTTTTGTTCCTTTCGTCAGCTTTTCATCTCAACACCAATTACAATTGTTAAAACAATATAAAAAATTTAAATAAAACAAACAAATACATATAAATTTTATTTATTTTTCATATGTTTTCGATAATGAATAAAATAAATATTAAAAGAGTTAGAAAATAATATGAACAAAGGAATATAACAAGGAAGTAAAGGAAATCACGATTTGATAAATTTGTATTTTTTTCGATTTTGTATAGCATCGAAAACCATTGTTAATGAAGGTTGTTTTAAAAAAGTCTCAAATTCCCCGACTTTCAGGGGCAGGGACGTGGTACAATCTTACTTAAATAAATTCTTTTTTTCAAAAATAAAAGTTTTTAAACTTTGATTTTGATTTAAATTTGTAAATTTATTTATTTAATATTTTAAAATTGAAAAACTTAAAATTTTTAATGTAATCATGAATTTTCTAAAATTTCGCCTGCGGCGCGAAAATTGAAGAGTTCTGGCTTCATTACCGGCTAACTTCAAAAAAATTGTGCCGCCGGCACTAACAATTGAATTTATTTTCCTAAGGCTTTCCGAAAATTCTCAAAATATTTTGCTTGCGGCGCAGAAAATCGAGAGATTAAGATGGATTGCGTATTATCAGGAGATCAAGAGGATATCAGATAATTAATTGAGATTTAAAGTAGAATAATATCAGAGAAAGAGGACTAAATTTTTAAATTGCTTTAGATATTTTTTAAAAATTACGAATTACAATTACGAAATTTTTTTTAAAATTACGAATTACAATTCCGAAAAAAATTGCTAGGCGCTTTATTGCTAGGCGCTTTCGCTCACTACATATGTACATATGCAGGAGCTCTACCATTGAGTTACCGGGACATCGACTAATGCTTTCTCCTTTTCTTTTTTAGATCGTTTAACCCTCGCCTAAGCGTTTTAAATGCTGCTAGGTGAATCATCTTTACATAATTTAAGTTTTGTTATTAAAATGACGTTTAGGTAGGTTAATACCTTTAAGTATTTCAAAATATTTATGTTCAAATCTAATATTTATACAAATTTTATCAATTTTCTTTTATTTTATGTGAAATATTTTTCAAGGATAAATTGATTTACAAAGAATTACAAATATTATTTATTTAAAAGAGTTAATATAAATATTTATTATATACATATATGTATATCCATGATTATTTACATCATTTTATTAATTCTTCATAAAATCCGCAACCATTCGCAATCCAAATATCTAAATATTTTCAATTAGATATTTAAATTAAATTTACCTTTTAATTACATCCACTTCAGCAACACAAATTTTTTAAACAAGCGTATTGGTATTTGGCACAATAGTAATCTCCGTTGCATCTTGCTCTACATATTGAATAACAAAGAAACTGATCACACCTAATACTATTAGCAGTAACCACAAAAATCATTAAAAAAGTCAGTATAATTAACAAATATTTCATAATTATCTGGAAATTTTTATTTTTGAATTTTTAATAGAATTAAAAATTTTTTAATTTAATTTTGGATAATTAATTTAAAAGAAGGATCGGTTAATGGATATTACAACATGGAAATTCTTTAAGAAGAGTGGTTATAATGCTGATCGGTTATCCGTGTCATCCTAAAAACTTTAAAACCGTTCTCAGTTTTAATAAGATCCATCTTATGATCCATCTTATCAAAAAAAAGCTTGTAAGGATGATTCACCTAGCATAATTTAAAACGCTTAGACGGGGTAAAGTAAAATACTTTAATAAAGTAAAGTATTAAAGTCTTGGATTTTTCTTTCTTTCTTCCCCTTATAATAACTAAATTAGCGTAACTATGTAGATAACTCCAGACTAATTAACATTAAAAATTGTTACTTTTACTCGATGCCCCGGTAGCTCAGTAGTAGAGTTTCTGTATGTGGTGAGCGAAAGCGCCTAGCAATAAATGTCAGGAGGTCGCAGGTTCGAATCCTGCCCGGTGGCTAAACTTTTGCTAAACTCTTTATCTGTTAAAAAGCTTTTAGCTTAAAAACTCATATTAAAAAGCTTAAAAAGCAAAATCTATATTCAAGAGGTAAGTATCTCATAGAAAATATCAAATATATATATTTAGGAAATTGAAGTATTTTTAATTTTTAAACCATAAAAATTATTTATTTATTTATTGTTGATAATTTAAAAAATAAAATTTATTTTAAACCGTCCACTAAACATGTGATTTATTAAAGAAATAAAAATAACTAAATTTTATTTTATAAATTCCAAAAAAAAATTGTGAAAACAAAATTTTTTATCAGAATAATTTTTTTCTCTTTTGACAAATTTTCATCTTAACGTTTATAACAGGGCTCTCATTCGTACTTTATTTCAGAGTACAGTACTCTAAAATCGACCTCCGTACTCTCAAAATTGAATTTGTACTTTATTGAGAGTATGTACTTTAAAATCAACATTTTGGATTGAAAATGAAATTGGAGAAGGGATTGGGCAAAAAAGTGAATTTTTTTGTCCTTCGACCTTTGAAATTCTCAAGATTTTCGCCTGCGGCGCTGAAAAAGGAAGAAATTTAGATTTTTGGGCTCCAAATTTCAAAAAATTTTCGCCTGCGGCGCTAAAAAAGGAAGAAATCTAGCTAAAAAAGGAAGAAACCTGGCAGCAGCGAAGCTCGCTTGAGGTTAAGACAGTTAGGGCTTTACTTCTTGTGTCAGCGAATTTTGACATGTCATGCATTGAAATGCACATAATGCTCAGTGGAAACAAGAAATTATTAGAAAAGATTCATTTGGGTAATAATAAAAAGATTCATTTTTCTAATTTAATTTTGAGTGTACTTTAAATTTGGAAATTTTGTCCCTATGTACTCTAAAATCGAGTTTTTTGTACTCTTGATTGGTATTTTGTCGATGAGAGCCCTGGTTTATAACAATTGTTCAAAAATATATAGAAAATCTAAATAAAATAAACAAATATTTAATTTTATTTTCTATAATAAATAAATAAAAAATTAAAATTACTAATAAAGGAAGTAAATTTTTATATAAATGTGATATTACTAATTTAAATTTTTTTCAAATAAAAGAATCTGGATGAATTTTTAACGCTATTTACAGAATATATGCCATATTTTTTTCATATATGTACCCCTCCACCACATTGAAAACTTTTCTCATTATTTCTAATAAAAGGAAGAAATCTGGCATCTTGGACTTCAAAATTCTCAAAATTTCGTCCTAAGGCGCATAGAGAAACGAAATCGTTTTATAAAATATAGTTGAACATTTTCGTAGCTAATAACCCCTCCACCACATTGAAAACTTTTCTCATTATTTCTAATAACGATTTGCTCAATTCAGTGAAATTGAAAGAGAATTTTCATAGTCAACATTCGTTTGGAGTTATTTTTCTTATTTTCCGGTTTAACATAGTCATCTTAATATGATGATGACGTGTCGAGGATTTTTTACCTTATCGCCAAAAAACATCATTTAAAGACACTCGAATACTTTTGAAATTTTGTCATTCTTGGTTAACTAATATACTCAATTTTTACATGCATGTCAAATGACATGTTGATTATTGAACTTCTGAAGCAACCTAACAATTATGTTTCTAGTTATAAGCAGATAACCTTTACAATACAATTAAAATCTTGCTAAAACGGAAATACTAAAATATTTTAAGAATGTCAGAGAAACATGAAAAAATAATTAAATAAAGATTGAAAGTTCTGAATTGGTTATAATTAGATTATTTTTAAATTCAATATTAAATTAGATTTTTCTCCTTCATTTCTCCTTACAATAACTAAATTAACGTTACTATGTATGTATAACTTCTCACAAATTAATATTAAAAATTGTCAGTTGAAAATGCTTTGTTAATTATTTACAATTTTTATAAGTAATAATTTTAAAAATGTATGTCTGATTTCAAGGTGATAGTTAAGGAATGATGTTTCCCCAGAAATTCGACAATAACAAAAAACTTGAAAAGTAAAAGTTTCTATATAATTAAGGTAAAAATATAATTCTTTTAATTTTTAACTTTAAATATTTTGTTTAATTTTAAAAAAATATTTTTAATAAATTAAAGAAGTTTCATAATTATAAAATGAATCAAACTCAATGTATTGCTGCTGAGGCATCTGTCATCAACACAGAATTTAATATCGTACGAATATTGTTTATAATTTTGGGTACAATTGTTATTGGACTACTTTTACATGTTATTTGGTCTTACAAAACAAATCCACTTAAATTGCATACAAATATAATTGTAAGGTTTTATTTATCTGAGATTTTTTTAATATGTATGCAAATTGAATGAACTCACCAAGATAGTTAAAAATATACTAAGACTTGTGACAGGCGCAGGACAGGATACGCGGGACAGGATATTGTGACAGGCGCTAGACAGGATTTTATAATAGCGCTCTCACAATTTTCCTTTGGAATCCTGGCCCTAAAAATTTTTAAGGGAAATAACGCATGAGGGATCCACCAAAGAGGAAGTTACTAATTAAGAGGGTCTTTAATTTCTCAGAATTTTGTAGAAATTCTGTATTTAGTTTTGAAATTGTAGTGCTTCCTTTGCATACCTATATTGTTGAAAATAAAATAATTTATAATATTTAAGATATTAATTAGCAATGTACTTTTTCTTTATGCAATTCTTGTACTGTCATATATGTTTGAAGCTTCCATGAACTTTGTAAATTAAAATTCTTGAAATCTTGCTTAATTAATTTTAGTTTGTTTTATTTACATATTCTGACCCCTGTGAATGTTTAATCCAAGTTTGGTTAGTTTATTTGCTTAAAATGCCATCCTATATTTATACTTGTGCTTCTCCTCTGTTCCATTTTTTTATAATGATTGAACGTGTTTTGGCTACTGTTTATGCTAAAATTTATGAAAATCAAAGCAAAATGTTTGGTGTTGTCAGTACAATAATTGTGGTAAAATTTTATGGCTAAACTTCGTTTTATGGTTCTGATTCGGATATGGATCCAGATATAGAATGTCATTCGAAAGAGCTCGTCGAGCTGAGTCGAACGACACAAGACTCATTTATGGACCGAGATATGGGTCCCCAAAATTCGAAAAACCATAGGGGGGACCAAGCACTTTCTTGAGGTGAAAAATTCGAATATGCAAATTTCGCTCGAAAGATCTCGTCGAGCTGATGATTATTACTTCGTTCATAAGCATCCAATCGAGCTGATTTTGGTATCATTCAACTCAGCTCGACGAGCTCTTTTGAATGACATAAATCGTCCATATTTGGATAAAAGCCATAAAACGTAGTTAGGCCAATTTTATTTCTAATTTTTTTAATTTTTTAAAATCTTAGTGGGTGATAACCTTGGTTTATTGTCTGTACGTTTACATTACAACAAGAATGGATACTAAAACATTCAGCCATCCAATGGTTTATACTTCATTAACAAGCATTTATAATTCTCAATTACTTATTTATCTTCCCTTTGTTTTCTTGTTTTTTGGTATATGCATTTCTATAGCTGATTATTTTTTAATTCTTCGGAATCGAAAAATAGAATCAAATTTGTAAGTATAGTTGTCTCAAATTTAGATTCCCCTAAATCGGATGGAGTACATATACTTACCTTTAACTACCTTTTTCATTCAGGCATAAGAAAAAGCCTCCTGTTTTGATAACCTAGTAGCTATATGAGCATCTTTCATTCCAAATGGGGTATCTAAAATTGAGGTCCTAATGTAGGTATATTTGTAAATAATTTAATTATTAAAGTTTCAACTCTACAACAAACTATTACAGTTTAAGTAAGAGTTATCAAACTAAACAAAACATTCTTTTGATGAGAATCATATTTCCTCTGGATTTTTCTTATTCCTTTGTTTTTGGATTGTATAATATTCTATCGACTATTGTACGATACAATCGCGATGAATACAACCAACTTATTTTTATCCGAAACTTTCAAGGCATAACACAAGTAACTAACTATACATACTATTATATAAGCTTAAAAATCCAAAAGTTTTAAAAATCCCAAAAGTACATAACCGAAATAAAGATAAGCTCTTTCAAAAAATCATTTTTCTGAAAATAAATACTGTAGGAGATAACTGGAATATTACGAAAAATATCTTTTTTAATTTAAGTTACTTTTCATTCACGCTATTATAACATTAATTGTATATGACTATTTTTTGAAGAAACAGAATGAAATCAAGAAGAATTTTGTTAAAATAAATATGAATATTAGTTCTGAATTATATTTTAAAAATTTAAATCTTGCTTGGAATTAAATTTTTGTATAATTATTTTTAATTAAAATTTTATTATATTTTTTAATTGATGTTGGATTTTCTCGAATTTAATTAATCTGAATAATTATAGTTGAGATTTCTAATGTCGGCGAGCATATCCAATCCCTTTATCTACCCTTCACCAACGTGGCCTTTTCCAAACCACTAAAATGGGATGGTTTTTTTAATTCAAAAAAATTTTTCTTGATTAATATTTTACAGTGAAAATTTAAAAAAATGAAAATTTTTTACATTTTAGTATTAATTTAACGTTTAAGTTGGATAAATTAGAAAAGTTTAAAAACCTTTAAATATTTTAAAATATTCTATTTATATACAAATTTAATATTTATTCGAATTTAATCAGTTTTCTTTTATTTTATGTGAAATATTTTTCAAATAAATTAATTTACAAAAAATTACAAATTTTATTTATTTAAAATAGTTAATGCAAATATTTTTTATATATATCCATTATTTACATCATTTTATTTAATTTCATAAAATCCTCCACTTGCAATTCAAACATCTGAATATTCTTAATTAAAAATTTAAATTAAATTTACTTCATAATTTCATCCATTTCAACAGCACGAATTTTTTAAACAAGCAATATAACAATCAAAATCTCCGTCGCATCTCATTCTACATATTGAATTACAATTAATCTGACTACACCTAATACTATTAGCAGTGACCACAAAAATCATTAAAAAAGCGAATATAATTAACAAATATTTCATAATTATCTGGAAATTTTTAATGCTTAATTTATTAATTTTTTAATTAATTTTTGGATAATTAATTTATGAAAAGGATCGGTTATTGGATATTACCTAACATGGAGATTGGAAAAGTGGATATAATGCTGATCGGTTATCCGTGCCATTCTAAAAAACTTTCAAAACCGTTCATAGTTTTAATCAGATCCATCATAAAGAGTTTAGCAAAAGTTTAGCCACTGGGCAGGATTCGAACCTGCAACCTCTGACAGTTATTTTTTCGCTCATACAAATGTATGTGCTCTACCACAGAGCTACGGGGCATCGACTAATGCTTTTTCTATTTTCCTTTTTAGATCGTTTAACTCCCGACTTTAAATGCTCTAGGTGAATCATCCTTACACATCTTATTAAATTAATAATTAAAAAGCTTTTAGCTTAAAAGCTTTTATTAGAAAGCATTGTAAACAAAATTTGAATTTTAGTGATAACTATTTCATAAAAAATATCGAATATATATTTAGAAAATTGAAGTATTTTTAATTTTTAAACCCTAAGAAATATTTATTTATTTACTGTTGATAATTTTAAAAAATAAAATTTATTTTAAATAACCTCACTAAACATGTGTTTTATTAAAGAATTAAAAATAACTAAGTTTTTATTTTATAAATTTCAAAAAAAAATGTGAAAACAAAGTTTTTAATCAGAATAATTTTTTTCTCTTTTGACAAATTTTCATCTTAACGTTTATAACAGGGCTCTCATTCGTACTTTATTTCAGAGTACAGTACTCTAAAATCGACCTCCGTACTCTCAAAATTGAATTTGTACTTTATTGAGAGTATGTACTTTAAAATCAACATTTTGGATTGAAAATGAAATTGGAGAAGGGATTGGGCAAAAAAGTGAATTTTTTTGTCCTTCGACCTTTGAAATTCTCAAGATTTTCGCCTGCGGCGCTGAAAAAGGAAGAAATTTAGATTTTTGGGCTCCAAATTTCAAAAAATTTTCGCCTGCGGCGCTAAAAAAGGAAGAAATCTAGCTAAAAAAGGAAGAAACCTGGCAGCAGCGAAGCTCGCTTGAGGTTAAGACAGTTAGGGCTTTACTTCTTGTGTCAGCGAATTTTGACATGTCATGCATTGAAATGCACATAATGCTCAGTGGAAACAAGAAATTATTAGAAAAGATTCATTTGGGTAATAATAAAAAGATTCATTTTTCTAATTTAATTTTGAGTGTACTTTAAATTTGGAAATTTTGTCCCCATGTACTCTAAAATCGAGTTTTTTGTACTCTTGATTGGTATTTTGTCGATGAGAGCCCTGGTTTATAACAATTGTTCAAAAATATATAGAAAATCTAAATAAAATAAACAAATATTTAATTTTATTTTCGATAGTAAATAAAAAATAATTAAAATTACTAATAAAGGAAATAAATTTTTATATCAATTTTATATTACTAATTTAAATTTTTTTCATATAACAAAATCTGGATGAATTTTTTACTCCATTTACAGCGTATCTGCCATATTTTTTATCCTTTGGCATTTAGTAACTAAAATATTGAAAAGAAATTTTTAAAAAATTCTGGCATCTTTGACTTCAAAATTCCCAAAATTTCGTCCTAAGGCGTAAAAAGAATCGAAATCTTCAGGCATTAGTTTTTAAAAAATAAAATTGAACATTTTCGAAACTAATCACCTCTCCACCTTTTCCCCCATTTTTTGAAATTTTCTCATTATTTCTAATACCGATTTGCTTAATTCAGTGAATTGAAAGAGAATTTTCATAGTTCAACTTTCGCTTGGAGTTAAGTTTTATTTAGTTGGAGTTGAGTTTTGAGGTTGATTCAGTTTGATTTAGTCTCGCTGTTTAAAATATACCTAAATATACATATCCTCATTTAATATTCTTTATCTTCATCAAAATTTAATTTTTAGTTACATGAGTGCGAGTGACGTTTTGATTATTGAACTTTGAGAACAACCTAACAATTATGTTTTTATCTATAAGAAGATAAGCCTTCATAAGGGAGCCTTATATTATTGAAATCCTACTAAAACGGAAATACTAAAATATTTTAAGAATTTGAGAGAATTTCATAATTCTAAAAATTATTTGATTAATCAAAAAAAATTATTTGATTAATTAAAATTTTTGTCAAAAAATTTGTAATTTTTTCGTAGAAAATTTTTGAAAAAATTTTATATTATGACAAAAAATAATTTTAGCTACAAATTTCTCAAAAAAATGCCCAAATATACACAAATTTTGGTAAAAATATGCAAAATTTCCCAAAATATGTACAGATATTCAAATATGCACGGTAGTACCGAAATATGCAAAAATATGCATTATGAACCGGATCCTAAAGTGCTCGTACCGATGTAAAAACCAGAGGTGTTTCGAAATTTCGATTTTCGATTTTCGTTTTTCGATTTTCGAGGTTTTTTTCCTTTCGATTTTCGATTTCCGATTTTCGAAATTTTGTGATATTTTCGATTTTCGATTTCCGAATTTTTGAAAAAATTTGAATTTTTGGCGCCAAAAATGACGAATTCTGACTTAACGGCCATCATAAATTTAAAAAATTTTCGCCTGCGGCGCAGAAAAAAGACGATTTTTGGCTTAAGGATCAGGCAATGTCATGGATACGGATAATATCCGGATACCCGCGGATATCCGCGGATACGGACGGATATGGATAGTGTTTTTTTTAATTGGACGGATACGGATGGATACCGATTGCCTCCGCGGATATCCATTAAAATTTTTGCTACAACGCAAATAATGTGAATTTTTTCGCATAAGGCCTTCCTAAATTTTCAAAATTTTTGCCTGCGGCGCTGAAAATAAAAAGAAAATCTGCTTATTTGCCTCACAAAATTCTCAAAATTTTCGCCTGCGGCGCTAATTGGAGAAAGCCTGATCTACTAACAATATTATGCTTCGGCTCCGGTATATTGGAGGATTTGCTTGGATTTAAGTGGATTTGGAACCCTATGCCAGGTATCGCCCAACTCTATGAGTAAAGCGGCCTAGCTCTGTACTATATTATCCCTTTTAATTCTTCATTATCCCTTTTAATCCACACTGATCTTATGATAAATTATTAATCTTTAACTTTCCACCTAACATAACAAAAATTTATTTTTCAATTTTTTTATTAAAAATTTTTTTTCGATTTTCGTTTTTCGATTTCGAAGATTTTGAAAAATATTTTCGATTTTCGATTTCGATATTTTTGGATTTTTTTCGATTTTCGATTTCCGATTTTCGAAGAATTTTTTGTTTCGAAACACCTCTGGTAAAAACACCATTTTTGAGCGTTTCAGCTCATGGTATATCCACATGCAATATATGCATTTGCATGTTTTGCCGCACCCTAGTAATAACTAAATTATTTTTTAATTTAATAAATTCAAATTTTTTATTTTTTATTTCTCCATACAATAACTAAATTAGCGTAACTATGTAGATAACTTCCACACAAATTAATATTAAAAAAATTGTCAGTTTAAAATGTTAGTTAATTATTTACAATTTTTATAAGTAATAATTTTCAAAAAGTACTAATTTCAAGGTGATAGTTAAGGACAGATGTTTCCCGGAAATTAGTTTATAACAGGAAATCATGAAAAGTAAAAGTTTAAACATTTCTATATAATTAAGAAAAAAAGTAATAATTTTTTCTTAACTTTAAAATTTTTTATAAAATAATATTTATTCATAATTTTTATTTATTTAAATATTTTGTTTAATTTAAAGAAATATTTTTAATAAATTATAAAAAAAATTTTATAATTATAAAATGAATCAAACTCAATGTATTGCTGCTGAGGCATCTGTCATCAACACAGAATTTAATATCATACGAATATTGTTTATAATTTTGGGTACAATTATTATTGGACTCCTTTTTCACGTTATTTGGTCTTACAAAACAAAATCAGTGAAATTGCATACAAATATAATTGTAAGGTTTTATTTATCTGAGATTTTCTTTTTTAATATTCAAATTGAATGGAATAACCAGGATAGTCAAAAATTTAATTAGACTTGTGACCGGTACGGGAAAGGATTCTGCGCGGAATTTTATAATCCTGACTAGGTTTGCCGTTTAGAGTCGGGCCGACGGTCGAGTCATTCTTTTCGTGCTTCATTTTTAACGAGTCGGGCCGGTACGAGTCTTTTTCGGGCCAAAATTCTTAGGCCCGACTCGATCTTTCGGTTCAAGTCGGGCCATTTTGGCAACCCTAATCCTGAAACTAAAAATTTTTAAAGAAAATCCCGCAGAAAGGATCCCGTGAAGAAGATGTTTATGTTACTAATTAAGATTAGGGTCTTTGTAAAAGTTTCGTACCTGAGTTTTTAATCTTGTAGTGCCTGCTTTGCTTATCCTTTATTGTTGATAATGAACTAATTTTTGAAATTTAAGATATTAATTAGCAATGTACTTTTTCTTTATGCAATTTTTGTACTGTCATATATCTTTGAAGCTTCCATGAACTTTGTTAGTTATCATTCTTGAAATCTAACTTAGTTAATTTTAGTTTGTTTTATTCACATATTCTGACCCATGTGAATGTTTAATCCAAGTTTGGTTAGTTTATTTGATCAGAATGCCAGCCTATATTTATAATTGTGCTTCTCCTCTGTTCCATTTTTTTATAATGATTGAACGTGTTTTGGCTACTGTTTATGCTAAAATTTATGAAAATCAAGGCAAAATGTTTGGTGTTGTCAGTACAATTATTGTGGTAAAATTTTATTATTTATTTAATTAATTTTTAAATTTTTAGTGGGGGATAACCTTAATCTATTGTCTTTACATTTATATTACAACTAGAATGGATACTAACACTTTCAGCCATCCAATGGTTTATACTTCATTAACAAGCATTTATAATTCACAAGTACTTATTTATTCTCCCTTTATTTTCTTGTTTTTTGGAATATGCATTTCTATAGCTGATTATTTTTTAATTATTCGGAATCGAAAAATAAAATAAAATTTGTAAGTATAGTCGGACCTTAAATTTAGATACCACAAAATCGGTTGGAGTAAACTTAGCAACTACTTTTCTCGTTTAGACCTAAGCAAAACTCCCCTGTTTTAATAACCTAGTAGCTTTATGAGCATCTTTCAGTCCAAACGGGATATCTAAAATTGAGGTCCGAATTTCGGTACATTTGTAAACACATATAAAATTAATTATTAAAGTTTCAACTCTACAACAAACAATTACAGTTTAAGTAAGAGTTATCAAACTAAACAAAACATCCTTCTAATGCGAACAATTTTTCCTCTGGATTTTTCTTATTCCTTTGTTTTTGCATTATTTGATATTCTTTCGACCGTTATACGATACAATCGCGATGACTACAACATGCTTGCTTATGTCCGAAACTTTCAAGCCATAATATTGGTTATTTCTTAATTTATTCTTAATTGAGTGGAACAGATTTGAATCTTTGTTTTTAAACAAAGTTCACTAATAAAATTACAATTAGAATTTCCTTGAATGAAATAGTCCTCCTTTTTAAAATCATCCTTTTTTTATTAAACAATAAAGAGAAGTGAGAAAATCCCGAAATTACAAAACCAATATAAAAAATTTGCCGAACCTGCCCGGACTTTTAAATAGAACAGGGCCAATCCGACCTGATTTTTCTGGATTAATTCGGCCTGGAAACAATGTGTGTGTGTTTGGGCCACTATATTTATGCTGGGTATTATCCACAAACGTAGGATCATTTATAACACATAATCGACTGAGCTAGATGAGCTCTTTCAAATTATAATCATTTTACCGTAAATAAATACTTTGGGAGATAAATTGAATATTACAAAAAAAATATATTTTTTAATTTAAGTTGCTTTTCATTCACGCAATTATAACATTAATTGTATATGACTATTTTTTGAAGAAACAGAATGAAATCAGAAAGAATTTTGTTAAAATAAATATGAATATTAGTTCTGAAATATATTTTAAAAATTTAAATCTTGCTTGGAATTAAATTTTTGTATAATTATTTTTGATAAAAATTGTATTTTATTTATTAATTGATGTTGGATTTTCTCGAATTTAATTAATCTGAATAATTATAGTTGATATTTTCTTAAGTCGGCGAGCACAAAAACCTAATTTGGCGTTGATAAATAAGATAAATCTCGTAGGGTGGCTCAATAAAAGCATCAACTTCACTCAAAATGACTCAAATACCTTTGAAATTTTTGTTATTCATTAGTCTCATTCTTGCTCGTCTAATATGTACATAAACTCAATTTTTAAATGCTTGTCAACAGACAGCTTAAAGACATTTTGATTATTGAACTTTTAAAAACAACCTAACAATTGTGCTGTATCGATAAAAAGTTAAGCCTTTCGCAATGGAGGCTTAATACAATTGAGATTTTCTTGAAACGGGAATACTAAAATATTTTAGGAATTTCAAAGAAACATGTAAAAATAATTTAATAAATATTGGAAGTTCTAAATGGGTAATAACTAGATTATTTTTTAATTTAATAAATTAAAATTTTTTATTTTTTTATTTCTCCATACAATAACTGAATTAGCGTAACTATGTATAACTTCCACACAAATTAATTTTTAAAAATTGTCAGTTGAAAATGTTTGTTAATTATTTACAATTTTTATAAGTAATAATTTTCAAAAAGTACTAATTTCAAGGTGATAGTTAAGGACAGATGTTTCCCGGAAATTAGTTGATAACAAAAGGCTTGAAAAGTAAAAGTCTCTATATAATTAAGAAAAAAGGTAATAATTTTTTCTCAACTATAAAATTTTTTTAAAATAATATTAATTCATAATTTTTAATTATTTGAATATTTCGCTTAATTTAAAGAAATATTTTAAATAAATTATAAAAAAAATTTATAATTATAAAATGAATCAAACTCAATGTATTGCTGCTGAGGCATCTGTCATCAACACAGAATTTAATATTGTACGAATATTGTTTATAATTTTGGGTACAATTATTATTGTATTACTTTTTCACGTTATTTGGTCTTACAAAACAAAATCAGTGAAATTGCATACAAATATAATTGTAAGTGTTTTTTTAATTGAGGTTTTTTAAACCAGGATACTAGCCAGGATGGTTGAAAAGTTATTAAGACTTGTGACTGGCTCATGATAGGATTTTGCGCGGGATTTTAAAATATCGCTCTTGCAATCAGCCCATGTAATCTTGGTCCTAAAAATCTTTAAAGAAAATCACTCATGAGGGATGCCGCAAAGATGTTTCAGTTACTAATTAAGATTTTTTTAATTCCTCGGTTCTCTGTAATAATTCTATATTTGAGTTTCTAATCTTGTAGTGCCTGCTTTGCATATCCTTTATTATTGATAATAAAATTATTTTTAATATTTAAGATATTAATTTGCAATGTACTTTTTCTTTATGCAATTTTTGTATTGTCATTTATGCTTGAAGCTTCTATGAACTTTGTTAGTTAAAATTCTTGAAATCTAACTTGAAAAAATTTCGTAATACTAAACAGAAAGCAAATGGGTCAAACCATATGTCATTCGAAATAGCTCGTCGAGTTGAGTCGAATGGTGAGAAATTTTTGTGCGGACTATACAGGGGCTGAGATATAGGGCAATAGGTATCGAAAAACCATAGAGGGCTCAATTTTGGGGTGAAAAATTCGAATATGCAAATAATAGTTCATTCGAAAAAGCTCCTCATGCTGAGTCGAATGACATCAAAATCAACTCGAGATCTTGATTCTGAGCCGAGATAATGAGAATCAAAATGTTCAACGTAAACCTATGGGGCTTCTACGAGGTACTTGTGCAAACCTCGCTCCGCGCGGGTTTTGCGTCATGCGCTGGGTTCTGGGCACGGTCGCTGGGTTCTGGGTTTGTAACTTAATCCTATTCCTATCATCGATAAAGTGGGCATTCCTGGCTTCCTCCGATGCAACAAATACCTCCACGGAGACCATAGGCAAGGAGCGAAATTATAAGATCTAACTTAGTTCCGAAATTATACCATCTAACTTAATTTTAGTTTGTTTTATTTACATATTCTGACCCCTGTGAATGTTTATTTCAAGTTTGGTTAGTTTATTTGCTTAAAATGCCAGCCTATATTTATAATTGTGCTTCCCCTATGTTTCATTTTTTTATAATGATTGAACGTGTTTTGGCTACTGTTTATGCTAAAATTTATGAAAATCAAGGCAAAATTTTGGTGTTATCAGTACAATTCTTGTGGTAAAAGTTTATTTTTAATTTAATTAATTTTTAAATTTTTAGTGGGGGATAACCTTAATCTATTGTCTTTACATTTATATTACAACTAGAATGGATACTAACACTTTCAGCCATCCAATGGTTTATACTTCATTAACAAGCATTTATAATTCACAAGTACTTATTTATTCTCCCTTTATTTTCTTGTTTTTTGGAATATGCATTTCTATAGCTGATTATTTTTTAATTATTCGGAATCGAAAAATAAAATAAAATTTGTAAGTATAGTCGGACCTTAAATTTAGATACCACAAAATCGGTTGGAGTATACTTAGCAACTACCTTTCTCGTTTAGACATAAACAAAACCCCCATGTTTCGATAACTAGTAGCTTTATGAGCATCTTTCAGTCCAAATGGGGTATCTAAAATTGAGGTCCGAATTTTGGTACATTTGTAAACACATATAAAATTAATTATTAAAGTTTCAACTCTACAACAAACTCTTACAGTTTAAGTAAGAGTTATCAAACTAAACAAAACATCCTTCTAATGCGAACAATTTTTCCTCTGGATTTTTCTTATTCCTTTGTTTTTGCATTATTTGATATTCTTTCGACCGTTATACGATACAATCGCGATGACTACAACATGCTTGCTTATGTCCGAAACTTTCAAGCCATAATATTGGTAACTATATCATTAAGCATAACTTGTTATTTCTTAATTGAGTGAACGGACTTGGATCTTCGTTTTTAAACAAAGTTAACTAATAAGATTTCAATCAGAATTCCCATGATTGAAATAGTTTGCTTTTTAAAATCTTCTCTTTTTATAAAAAAATAAAGGGAATCGAGAAAGTCCCAAAAATACAAACCGATATAAAAAAATTTGCCGAAGCCGGCCCAGACTTTTAACTAAAACCGGAACGGATCTGACCAGATTTTTCTGGATTAATCCGACTAGGAAAGAATGTGTGTTTGGGCCACTATATTTATACTGGCTAACCCACAACCGTCGGATCATTCATAACACATAATCGACTGAGCTAGATAAGCTCATCAAAAGATAATCATTTTTTCTAAAAATAAATACTGTAGGAGATAACTGGAATATCACAAAAAAATATTATTTTTTAATTTAAGTTACTTTTCATTCATGCAATTATAACATTAATTGTATATGACTATTTTTTGAAGAAACAGAATGAAATCAGGAAGAATTTTGTTAAAATAAATATGAATATTAGTTCAGAAATATATTTTAAAAATTTAAATCTTGCTTGGAAATAAATTTTTGAATAATTATTTTTAATAAAAATTTCTGTTTTTTAATTGATGTTTGATTTTCTCGAATTTAATTAATCTGAATAATTATAGCTAAGATTTTCTAAAGTCAGGGAGCAAGATCAGGAGCAAGATCAACAGACAGCTTAAAGACATTTTAGCAATTTCAAAGGCAAATTTAGCAATTTCAATTTGGGCCGAATGCCTGCCGTTTTGGCGATTTTTGACCTAATTTGGCGTTGATAAATAAGATACATCTCGTAGGGTGTCTCAATAAAAGCATCAACTTCACTCAAAATATGTACATAAACTCAATTTTTGAATGCTTGTCAACAGACAGCTTAAAGACATTTTGATTTCACAATGGTGGCTTAAAACGTGTATACTAAAATATTTTAGTAATTTCAGAGAAACATGTAAAAATAATTTAATAAAGATTGGAAGTTCTAAATTGGTAATAAATAAATTATTTTTTAATTCAATTAATTAAAATTTTCTTTTTATTTATTTCTCCATACAATAACTAAATTAGCGTAACTATGTACAACTTCCACACAAATTAATATTAAAAAATTGTCAGTTGAAAATGTTTGTTAATTATTTACAATTTTTATAAGTAATAATTTTCAAAAAGTACTAATTTCAAGGTGATAGTTAAGGACAGATGTTTCCCCAGAAAAAAGTTAATAACAGGAAATTATTAAAAGTAAAAGTCTAAACATTTCTATATAATTAAGAAAAAAGGTTATAATTTTTTCTCAACTTTAAAATTTTTTATAAAATAATATTTATTCATAATTTTTAACTAATTTAAATATTTCCATTAATTTAAAAAAATATTTTTAATAAATTACAGAAAAAAATATTTCAAATTTAAAAATGAATCAAACTCAATGTATTGCTGCTGAGGCATCTGTCATCAACACAGAATTTAATATCATACGAATATTGTTTATAATTTTGGGTACAATTATTATTGTACTACTTTTTCACGTTATTTGGTCTTACAAAACAAAATCAGTGAAATTGCATACAAATATAATTGTAAGATTTTATTTATCTGAGATGTTCTTGACCAGGATACTAACCAGGATATCAAAAATTTATTAAGACTTGTGACCGGCTCGAGACAGGACTAAAATATCACTATTGCAATCAGTCTATGGAATTCTGACCAAAAATTAAAAAAAATACCGCATGAGGGATCCCGCAAGGATGTTTCTGTTACTAATTGAGGTTTTTAATTTCCGGTTCTCTGTAAAAATTCTATATTTAAGTTTCTAATCTTGTAGTGCCTGTTTTGCATATCATTTATTTTTGATAATAAAATAATTTTTAATATTTAAGATATTAATTAGCAATGTACTTTTTCTTTATGCAATTTTTGTACTGTCATTTATGCTTGAAGCATCTATGAACTTTGTTAGTTGAAATTCTTGAAATCTAACTTGGAAAAATTTCGGAATACTAAGCAGAAAGCAAATGGGTCAAACCATATGTGAATCGGAAGAGCTCGTCGAGTTGTGTCGAATGTTGAGAAATTTTTGTGTGGACTCATACAGGGGCTGAGATATAGGGCAATAGGTATCGAAAAACCATAGAGGGCTCAATTTTGGGGTGAAAAATTCGAATATGCAATCAATAGTTCATTCGAAAAAGCTCCTCGAGCTGAGTCGAATGACATCAAAATCAACTCGAGATCTTGATTCTGAGCCGAGATAATGAGAATCAAAATGTTCAACGTAAACCTATGGGGCTTCTACGAGGTACTTGTGCAAACCTCGCTCCGAGCGGGTTTTGCGTCATGCGCTGGGTTCTGGGCACGGTCGCTGGGTTCTGGGCTTGTAACTTAATCCTATTCCTATCATCGATAAAGTGGGCATTCCTGGCTTCCTCCGATGCAACAAATACCTCCACGGAGACCTTAGGCAAGGAGCGAAATTATACGATCTAACTTAATTCCGAAATTATACCATCTAACTTAATTTTAGTTTGTTTTATTTACATATTCTGACCCCTGTGAATGTTTAATTCAAGTTTGGTTAGTTTATTTGCTTAAAATGCCAGCCTATATTTATAATTGTGCTTCCCCTATGTTTCATTTTTTTATAATGATTGAACGTGTTTTGGCTACTGTTTTTGCTAAAATTTATGAAAATCAAGGCAAAAAGTTTGGTGTTATCAGTACAATTATTGTGGTAAAAGTTTATTTTTAATTTGATTAATTTTTTAAAATCTTAGTGGGGGATAACCTTAATCTATTGTCTTTACATTTATATTACAACAAGAATGGATACTAACACGTTCAGTCATCCAATGGTTTATACAACATTAACAAGCATTTATAATTCACAATTACTTATTTATTCCCCTTTTATTTTCTTGTTTTTTGGAATATGCATTTCTATAGCTGATTATTTTTTAATTCTTCAAAATCGAAAAATAAAATCAAATTTGTAAGCACAGGACCGGACCTTGAATTTAGATACCACAAAATCGGTTGGAGTATACTTAGCAACTACCTTTCTCGTTTAGACATAAACAAAACCCCCATGTTTCGATAACTAGTAGCTTTATGAGCATCTTTCAGTCCAAATGGGGTATCTAAAATTGAGGTCCGAATTTTGGTACATTTGTAAACACATATAAAATTAATTATTAAAGTTTCAACTCTACAACAAACTCTTACAGTTTAAGTAAGAGTTATCAAACTAAACAAAACATTCTTCTAATGCGAACAATTTTTCCTCTGGATTTTTCTTATTCCTTTGTTTTTGCATTATTTGATATTTTATCGACCATTATACGATACAATCGCGATGACTACAACATGCTTGCTTATGTCCGAAACTTTCAAGCCATAATATTGGTAACTATATCATATAGCTTAACTTGTTATTTCTTAATTGAGTGGACGCATTTGGATCTTTAAACAAAGTTCACTAACAAGATTTTCAATCAAGGGAACAACATTCCCTTGATTGAAAAATAGTCATCATTTTAAAATCATCATTTTTTATAAAAAAATATAGAGAAGTGCGAAAATCACAAAAGTACAAAACCGAAATAAAAAATTTGTCGTAGACCGGAAAGAAATACTGTGGGAGATAAATGGAATATTACAAAAAAAATTTTTAATTTAAGTTACTTTTCATTCATGCTATTATAACATTAATTGTATATGACTATTTTTTGAAGAAACAGAATGAAATCAAGAAGAATTTTGTTAAAATAAATATGAATATTAGTTCAGAAATATATTTTAAAAATTTAAATCTTGCTTGGAAATAAATTTTTGTATAATTATTTTTAATTAAAATTTTATTTTATTTATTAATTAATTTTTTTTGTTATTTACAAAATGGTAGAAAATTAGAAAAATATTAGAAATTGTTAAAAATAGGGCAAAATATGGCAAAAGTATAAAATACATATACTACCGACATAAAAATGAAATTCCCGATTTCGGTAAATCGGGATCCCGACTCAAAAACTACGGGAATTCCCGATTTTCGACGATCGGGACGGCTCTTTCCCTGGTAAGATTCGAAAGAATGATTCCCCCTTATCCAATAAGTTTTTATTTTTTGTTGAAATATAATTTGTGGGTAATTTTCGGGTTTTCTCGTGAACCGTGATCACTTTCTAGTGTATTATCGGTGTAATCTTATAATTTTCCGGTATTTTTCTTTATCTTTCGATTGGTTTGTAAATATTTTATTATACACTTACCAACCATAACAATGAAGATAATTTTTTAATTTTTCATTTTATTTTTTATTTATCATTCAAAATAAATGATAAATTTTTATATTAGGAGGCAAAAACTTCAATATGTAAATGTAACGTAATTAAATAAACAAAAATATCTCTCTATTAAAATTAAAAAAAAATATAACAATATTTCTATACATATGTATTATCACATTAAATTAAATAAACAAGGAAGCATAATAAAAATAACAAAGAAACTGTCAAATCACTAATTTTATTTTAGAATTTATTATCAAAGTCAGATGTTAAAGAATGGAATTCATGTAGGTTTTAGTTATTCAAATGAGTTTCATGCTTATGCATAAATAGTAAAATAATATCTTTATAATGAAATCATTATAACCCAAAAAGAAATTTCTTCATAATTACATAATGCTAAACATAATTCCAAACATATTTTTCATTTTTTGGCCCCGAGCTATAAAAACCTTGCAAAAATAAACCAAATATATTTTTAGGACCCAATAAGACTGATTTTAATAAAAAATATTTATAATAGAAACGAATGTAAAAAAATGTCGGGGTTAATAACATTCTATCCAGAGTTTCTGTTTGTAAAGAGTTTCTGTTTGTTTTTTTTTCAGTTACCACACTATTGTTATGTCTTAGAATTCTATAATTCTTCTGATCCCCTTCTCTTCTATTTCATCTGATAAATCTAAAAATGATAATCATAAAATAATTTTTAGTGAAATAAAAGAATGAAAAATTTACTCATTTTCTTTGTCTTAAGTATGGCGTTAGTTTCAATTTACAGCCAAGTTTGTACAGTATTTTTCCCGCAAGTTTGTCCATTAATCTGTAAGGCCTGTCATGGGTGTTTAGCTAAAGACAAATTGTGCGAACCTGCTATTGATTTTTGTAAATTTTTTGGATGTGGGTGCAATTCGTTACCTCCGGTACAATAATTGAAAGTAAGTTTTATGATAAAAATTTCAAAATAAATTTATTATTTAGAAAAAATCTTTTGTGTGCGTTTTTGAAGAAATAACGATAAGATTTTTTGACAAGATTATCAATTCATAATATACAATAATTATTAACAAGAAATAAATTTATTGTAACATTCTATCGTCTATTAAGAAAATTATTTCTTAGGAAAATTAAACGTTTTCTAAGTATAATTAGATAGGTATATTATGATGAGCAGGAAGTCACATTTTTCTAAAATCCCCCAAAAATTGAGAACATTACTCATATCCAGAACAAGATTGAAAAAAAAAACCAAGAAAATCTTGGTTTCTCGACTAAGAGTATAAATATTAAATTTACATATATCTTTTAACTTATCATTGTCACATTACTTATACATTTTTAAACACTAATTATTAAGGATAGTTGAATAATGTCAAATAATATTATGATTATGCTATTTTTTCACTCTCGAATGAATGTGAATAATCACCTTATTATAATGTTTGCTGAGAGAAAAGAGTGTTATTTAACTTGGGTTTTCTTCTCTCTATACATATTTAATGATTTCATTTATCTTTGAAAAAAGCATGTCAGAAAAAAAAACAATTTCGCAAGTTTCGACCTCGAATAAATATTTTTAATTAATTATCAATTTAATAATAACTTTAGATTTCTAAGACTATCAATTTTGTTAATTCTGAAGGCTTAAAGAAATTAGAGCTCAGTGAATGTGCCTCAGATGCTCTTATCGAATATGTGATTAAATTTGTTATACCTAAAATTAAACTGGAAATAAATCAGAAATCGAATCTAATAATATTTATGTAAATATTTTATTACATATAAATAGTTTATTTTATATTATTATCTAAAAATATTTAATAAAACGATTTTTATATTTAATTAAATTTACATATGTAGATATGTATATTCTATGATATTTTAATTTATTTACCAATTTATAATATTAATGGTTATCATATGATTTAATTTTAGCACCTCAAAACATTGGGTCCCTCCCGCAAGCGAGAACTGGGGACGCGTGCTGGAACCACTTTTACTAGTTAATTAAAATAAAAAGTAATTTTATTTTTAATTTATTTAATTAAAGGACATTTAGGATTTTACAATTAAGGAAGAGAAATTTAATTAATTTCCCATATAAAGTCAATTAATTTATCTTGTTTATTTTATTTATAAAATAATTATTTTGAAAATTTATTTTAACGTAATTATTTTGAATTTTATTTTTAAATATGTTTTAAGAACATAAATATTTAAAACATAAATAAAATAATTAGAACATAAATATTTTCAACTAATTGTGTTACTCGAGATATTGCAGTGTATAATTGACCATGTGCAAATTAGTTATCTCTGAAATAAATTCTAAGTTAAAAAATATATAATTAATTATTTCTCATTCAAAATTTTTATAATCATAATCGCTAAATAAAATACTTGCATTTTACAAAAATACATATATTTTTGTTTTTATATTATTATACTAACTTAAATTATTACACTGTTTTGTGAATTTTAATTTATTAATTTAAATTTATTTATATTTTAAAGCGTTTTTATATGTATTTACATAGGTATTTATTTCACAATTAAATTAAATAAACAATTTATGTTGTTTTAAGAGGAACAGGCAACTTTATTTGAAGAAGGATTATTAAGAAAAAGTTGAATATCTTTTTTATTCTCTCTATTAAAGTTCTTTCAAAATATTATGTATTACTTTTATAATTTATATATTAAGGTATAAACTAATATTTTTATTTAGATGATTCGAATTACTAAATTAATGCTTAATTTAGATTTATAGTTTAAATTTTTAATATTGTAGAGGATCTGATAAAATCCCAGTTTTTTGAACACGACTTATTTTTGACACAACCATAAATATATTTTTGAACATTTGTCGCCAAAGCTTATAAGTAGATGACACCCTTCTTTTGCTTAGATTCTCAATTACAGTTTATCAGCAGAATAAATATTTTGACCACAATATTTTTATTTTAATTTGCATTATTTTATATTATTTTTTGATGACTTTAACGTTAACTTACTTTTAAATTATTTTTAATTTTTATAACTATTTTATGAGATTCTACTATTTGATTTAATATTTATCCATGACTTAATTCGATTATTAATTAAATATTTTTGTCTTATAAAGCAAATCTATAAAGTTCGTTATAATTTTACAGTATTTATATTTAAATTTTTGGGTAGTTTATACAAAATATTTTATTTAAAACATTCGAAGGCTGATCCAATAAAACATGTTCATACGAATTTAAATTTTTATATTAGTTGCATAATGTATTTTCTAGCATTTAAAATAAAATTATCCAGTAAAATTTTTTTTAATTTATTAATTTTTTGCCTAGAAGAATTGGTTATTATATTATTTAATTTTATAAAATAATGCGACAGTTTCCTCTGCATTTAATAAATTTAAATATTTTATAATTTAATTATTTAAATATAATTGTATTAATTTCAATAATGTTTCATAAATTTATCATAAATCTGCGCATTGAAGTATAAAATCTAAGCATGATACTTTGGATATTTTGAGAAATTTTTTAGACAAAGTACATATTTTTTATGTATGATTAATAATAATTGTAAAGCTCTCGGTTGAATTTTACTTACATTCTTTAATTAATTTTATAAAACATGTTTGATGATCTATCATCTAAGCCATAAAAAAGCATAATTAATTGAAGAATATATTTAATAAAAATCCAAAAATAATCATTAATATACATAATAAATGTTAATTTGGCAAATGTAAAGGAATGGCTAATTGTAAATTGTTTAAATTTATAAATTATCTATTTTTATTTAGTTCAAAACAATTATATATATATTTAAGTTGTTCATTATAAATAAATGCCAATGCTTCTGAATAGTGATGCGTCAATCAGCTTAGTTCTTTATTTAATTTAATATCAAATAAATAATTAAACCTATTATTAAATAAGTTTTTTTTAATTTTGACGTCTTTATAGAGCACATTTTGTCTTACTTAATTAAATTATAAACAAACAAAAGAATAATTATAATTTTAATAATAATCTTAGTGATACAAGAATCATTCAGATAAGTTTGCATTTTATAAAATATGTATAATAAATTAAACTTAATAAAATAATTATTTTACAAATAATACACATTTTTTAATTGAATGATACTTATGTTTATACCAATTATAAATTCGTTGTTGTTAATTAAAATAAATATGTATATTTTTTCTTAATTTTTTAATTTTTCGTTCATTACATTCCTTTACCTCAACTATAAATTTGTTTAATTATAAGTAATAACCTCAAAGCATATTCAAAAAATTCACGAGTAAAAACGTTATTCTTTTAAACTAATTAACATCTAAAAAATATATTTTTACCTTTAATTTTTTATTCTACATATGTATTCGTATTTGTTATTCTTGCTTTTTACATTGTTGAGGACAACGACAACATTTTTCAACTTCTTCGGATTTTTGACGAATTGTTTATTTTTATTTATTTTTCCTTTTATGTTAAAAATACAGGCTCTCTTAACACTTTCAAAACAATATCCCCATAATTGCAAACTATTTTAATAGATTTACTACTTTTATGTAGAACTTGTTAACTTTTATATTTAAAATGTTTAATTATTTATTTTTATTCCAATATTGTTTTTAGTTAATAATTTATATACATATGACTATGTACATAGACGTTAAGTCATAATAACCAACTTAATAGATCTTACTTTTAAGCATATTAATTCATCAAATAAAAAATTATTTTATAAAAAGTATTTAATAAAAAATTATTTTAATAAAATTATTTAACGAAAATGTAGAAACCATTTAAAGATTTTTATTAATAGCTTATGCTTAATTCAAAATACCGATGTACTTTTTCATATTTGTAGACAATTAATTAAAAATTTATTGTTAAATAAACAATTTTTATGTATTAAATATTTAAAAATTTCGTTATTATGATTAGTTTAATCTTATTAGCTTGGTTAGTGCATCATTGTTTACACAGTTGGTGCAAATATTGAAATAAAAAAGCATTCGATGTTTTTTGTTTAATAGAAGTTTTTATGAGATTCTTTATGAAATTCTACTATTAATTTAATGATGCATAAGATTGGTTTGGTATAGGGCTCGGGTCGATAACAAATATCATTTGGATAAATGTACTATTTATCCATATTAATGTATAATTAAAAAACTAACTTTTATTTCATTATTTTAAATACTTATAATTTTTTAAATTGTGTGTATTTAATTTTTATAATTATTTATTAATCTTTTTTATTATTAATTAAAAATCCTTCATTAATTATATAACAATTTATAAATATATTCTGCTTATTAAAAAAATTTCATAATAAAAATATATGTATATATTCATTGTTTTTTTTGTTATGAACGGAGCCTTGGAAAGCGAATTTTTATGCTTGCTTATCTTCTGAACGCAAGGCGTCTGGTAATAATTATTATTATTATAGTTTATAAAATATTATTTTTAACTTAAAATATGCCTTATCGAGAATAACTATAATTTCCATTGTTTTTTAGAATAAATGTTACAGCTCTATTTTCAGAACTACATAGTGTGAGGCATGAAGTTTTTGATCATTTCATATTATGTATACAATATACATATTTAGTTGGTTTTTAAAATTTTATTTCAGATTATAAATTATATTGTGTATAAAATAAAGTTATTAAAATAAAGTTATTATAAAATTAATACAAAATATTAATTGAGAGTTTCTATTTAATTTAAAATTGTATTTGAAATATTTTGTAGAAAACAGACTTTTAAATAATTAATTGATGAGGATATAAATAATAAATTTTAGAATTGCAGAAAAATTATTTTTATTGAATTTTACATATTTTAAAAATGATAAAATTTAATTTTGTAATTTTGTTAATTTATTAAAATTTTATTAACTACATTTTTAGAATTTATTATATTTTGATATATTTTTATTCAATAGGTTAAATTAATTTGAGAAGTATAATTAGGCAAATTTTATTTGTTGATATGTACATAATACATCTTTTTTATTGTTAGCTTTTATATTTTTATTCATTTAATTATTTATTTTATAAATTAATAATTTAAGATTATTATGTTTCTAATAATTTTAATAAAATTAAAAATTTTAAAATTATTTTAGTTATGTAAAGTTGAGTTATTTTAACATTAATAAACAATTTTAAAATAAATATTATCGATTCAAAGAAAATAGTAAAAATAAATAATAAAATTGGAGAATGGTGAGTGGGTCCTAAGGAGAGAAGTTTGTGTTGCTGTGTATATCCATAGTGATGACCTTTATAAAAACCCATGGCAGAACTTACCGAACAAAAGTCGATATTTTTAATTTTAATTATCTTGGTCCTATCTTTTTTTCCACCACAAAAATTGAGTAGTATCGTTTAAATTTTTTGGAAAAAATTTTGTCGGTAAATTATCTGGATATTTATACTCATTTTAAAGAGCATTTAAAGATCTACAATTTTAGTGTTGAAACTTTTTTTCTAAAAGTTAATCGAAAAGAGATAATCGATAAAAAGTAAATTAACAGCCTCTGGTCCTATCTTTTTTTCCGGCACTGTATCTCTCATGTTGGCCTTAGTCCACCTCTACACCAACATAATTCTATATATAGTTAAAACAACTTTCCGTTGCAATAAAAAATATTTAAGCCGAGATTTGACAGGTTTATTGAAATTTAGACCTCGACTCGGGTAGAATTTAGACTTATTTTTTAGAGAACTCGACCTAGCCCTACTCTGTTTTACACAATTATAATTATATTTTAAAATTTTATTTATTTATTAAAATAATTAGTAAGTATACTTATTTCAAATAGATTTTATTTAATGGGTTGTTGCGCATTTTTAGGCTTTTTTTATGTCTACAAATTCGAATTTGTTGTGTTGTTTTGTATTGCTTCAAACGCGGTCTAAGTACAACTCAAGCCAAAAAAGGAAATGCCGCCTTGAAGAGCACAAGTTGGGCATCTTTTGCAATAATTAAGCGATGTTACAAAAAATTCCGATATGGATATATGGGCCTAGAAGCCAAGATAATAATGGACATTACATTGTTTCTTGATTTCATTTCATTATTTACTTATGTAAATTGTTTTATTTATGCGAAAAGGGCTCATTATTTATCTAACAACCCATTACTTATACATACCTATCCTATAATTAAATTATTAAATATTTAATTAAATATTAAAATTTTTAAAATGAATTCATTTTTTGTACATTTTTTTTAAAAATTTACTTTTTACTTTTAAATTAAAATATTAGTTTTGTAATAATTGAGAGAAAAAATAAACGTTTTATTATTCAGACAAAAATTTACAAATTTGCAAATATTTCATAAAAATAAAAAAAATTTAACACAAAAACTTGGATTATAATAGAATTTGTTTACAAATCATAAAAGCAAAGAAAAATTAATAAAAAAATCCAACTCGATAGCGGCACTATTTGTGTATATATATTTTGTTAAAATTAACTTTTGGTTTATCTAATCAGAATTTTTTTAAAAAATCAATTTTATACATAAGTAATTATGTACTTAATTTAGTAGTTAAATGCTGTACAAAAGATGTCAATAGTTTATGTAACTACAATGTAAATGACTGCCAAATGCCAAAATAAATGTGCTCATTCATTATTTTTGGATTATGAGGGGCCTCGTCTTTCGAACCCACAATGTTCTGATGTTGACAGATGTTTTAGTGATAAATGTAATAAGTGAAAAGTTATTAGGAAAAATGAAGATTAGTTAATTAATTTGTTATTACAAAAATGTTGAATTTATTAAATTAATTATTAAAATATAAATTAAATTATTAAATTAAATGAGAAGGTGAAAGCAGCGTCCCTGTAGCTTAGTTGGTAGATCACCTGTACGTGGTGAGCAAAAGCGTCTAGCAATAACTGCCAGGTGATCGCAGGATCGAAGCCTGCCAGAGATTAAACTTTTACCTCGCTCTTACTTTAATTTAAACATTTTTTCTTCAATTATAATTTGAAATTTTTACGTATTAATAAATCTAAAAATAAAAAAACAAATAAAAGTTACTATGGAAATAGAAATGTTAAATTGGAAAGTTACCATAAAACGTTCTAAAAAAGTTTCCCATTCGTTCTTAAAAAGTTACAAATTTATTCTAAAGGTAATACCGTATTTCCTATATTAGAGCCCCATGGGGCTCTATTTTTCAACTATCCTCCAAGGTGGGGGTGTATTAAAGGGTGGGGCTCTAATTGAGGGTGGGGCTCTATTTTTCGACCCTCTTTTGAGATAAAATCCCATTTATTAAATATCTATTGCAGCTAAACGTCGGTCGGAGGTTTTGAGATATTTTTTCGATAAATAGAAAAATATCGAAAAATGGCCGATATTTTTAGGGTTTTCAAATGGGATATTTGGACTTGCTATGATTAAAACTTGATATTGACGGATTAAAAGAAATTTCAAGGGACTTGTATTTGTCATCGATGGATCAAGAAGGGTATAAGTTGATATTATCGAGGCATACCTATAAGCGGACTTTAAGAGATCATGTGAAATATAGGAGGATTAAGGTGATATATCAGAGATTTAGATTGTGCAAGAGGGAAATTGTTGATTTGGGGTATTGGAAGTGATATCAAGGGATTTTTTTGGAATATGAGATATTAAAGTATTTGGATAGATATCGTGTAATTAGGGTTGGGGTTTTCGAGTCGGCCCAATACCACGATATCCATCAATCCTTATATCCCCCTAATCTTTCTTTTAAACAACAATACTACCTTTGTTCACTTCACTATTAATTCGCTGTTGGGAAAAATTAAAAAAACTTATTTTTACTCCAATTTTTTATGTGGGGCTGTATTAGGGGTGGGGCTCTAATTGAGGGTGGGGCTCTATTTTTCAACTATCCTCCAAAGTGGGGCTGTATTAGAGGGTGGGGCTCTAACAAAGGGTGGGGCTCTAATATAGGAAATACGGTAATTCAAAAAAAAAGTCTTCGATAGTCACACCAGACTAGTGAAAACTAAATAAAAAACAATATGCTTCCATAGTAACTTTTATTGTTTCTCATTTTTAGATTTCTTAATGCTTATAAAGCTTTATATTTTTTATTTTTAAATTAGATAGTTGAGAAAATAAGTACCAATCCAATAAAAAACACATCCATTTCTCTAAGAATACAAATTTATTTATTTAAATATTCGTTTTTGGTTGAGTTTCTTGTTAGTTGACACCTTCACTAAAATTCTACAATGTTGGTAGAATTTTTAGTGAATTAAAAAAGAATTTCGACATGTTTTTGTCATTGTTATGAACAGATCTAAAAATGACTAATACATAAACCCAAAATTACAAAACTTTTATAAAACTAAGAAAGAGGTACGTGAAAATCAACTCGTACCTTCGTGCTTTGTCATTATTTTTGAAAGAAAAGTAATAGAAACATCTATAACTTCTTGAGCTCCTTTAAAAGATATGTGTAAAATTTTAATTTAAATTTTTAAATATTATAATTTTTTGATTTAGACAGTGGTAGGCTCTTGTATAATTTTTAATCCATTATCACTCAACTAATTAATAAAATGGTTAAATATAAACTTTATTACTTCGAACGAGGTTTAGGCGAAGCCATAAGACAAAGGGAAGCTTTTTAAATTTTCAATTCCTAGAGCATATTGTTTCACATTTAGCTTTCACTATGCTGGAGTGACTTTCGAAGATATACGGTTTACACATGAAAAATGGGATGCCGAGAAAAAGAGTAAAATTAAATTTAAATAGGGAAATTGTATTTAGTTATTCTAAAATATTTAAATTTATTTTTAGAATTTTTCTATGAAAAATTGCCAGTCTTAGAAGTTGATGGTAAGCAATTGAGTCAATCTAGTGCAATCCTTCAATATCTGGCTAATAAATTTGGTGATAAAATAATTATTTTAAAAATTATATTTTTAAATTTAAAGGTTTGGCTGGAAAAGATGAATGGGAAAAGGCTAAAGTAATTGAGATTTTTAATTTCTATAAAGATGTTTATAACGAATTATCACCTTACACTTTAACAAAATTAGGCTATCGTGAAGGCGATGCGGTTAGTATTTTTTCCCTTCCCCCTTTTCTAAAATATATCAAGTTCAGGATAATCTGAAAAAGACTGTATTTTTGCCTGGGACTGAAAGACTTTACCCAATCTTCGTCAAACTTCTGGCCCAATCTGGTTCAGGATTCTTTGTATCATCTGGTTTAACATATGTTGACTTAGTATTGGCCGAATATTTTGATTTGACACGCAAATTAGAGCCTGAAGTAGTCGGAAAATATAAGGAACTGAATGATTTTATTGATAAAGTATATGCTGTACCGAAACTGAAGGCTTATTTGGGCACTAGGAAAGACTAAAAATGAGATATATATAAGCATGAGACATAAATCAATTTATATATTTGGAATAAACAAAGAATTTATCTGATAAAAAATTTGTCTGATAAAGTTTAAATGAGAATTAATATTACACGTAATTTAAATGTTTTTATTTTATTTTGCAAATCTCTGATTAATTTTGTGATAAAATCTTTAAAAATTTCTCTAAAATTTGTGATAATATGCCTTCTATGTTTCTTCGATGTAACTATAGATATTTTAATAAAAAAATACAAAAATAACAATTATAAATAGGACTAGCTCTACAATAAAAATAAAACTTGAAACAAAATTTAAATTCTTTAAAATAAAAATTAGCTTAATAAAATAAAAGTACTTTATTAAAAATTACAAAATTATTTGCACTTTAGTTGTTTATTTCCGGGCTATCTAGTGTCAACAATATTTTTATTATTTCACAATGATATCTGATAAATTTTGTCGGTTATTTCCTAAAGTGCAACTTAATTTAAACAATAATAAAATTTTGTCTGTATTTATAGAATAATTAAAAGTCAAAATTAAAAACTTTAATAATTATTAATCTACATAAAAATAAATATAAAAAAATATTTAAATTACATACTTTTTCTTAACAAAATTAAAATAATGGCTATTCCAAGCCAACAAAATATTTTTAATTTTATTATTATTCAATTTATTCTATTTTTGTTGATTAAAATAAATTTTGTTTTTTCTGTTAATGGGAAATTTGAGGGAAGTACAAGTAAAGTTGGAGAAGAAATTTGTGAACAGAAAAGAGACACGGAAGGTGGGATTTGTTTAGATAAAGTTGTAAAGGTTGCCATAATGTCCTGATTTTATCCAAAATATTAAGTTTGCCCGGTCGCCTCGAATGTCGGATCGACTTAAAAGGCAATCTAAAAATCATTAAAGCAAGATTACCCATAAAATATATTTAATATAATTTTAAATTTAAATTTAGACGATCCATTAATTAATGATTTGAAAGAGGCTGATAATTATTTTAAATCGGTATCCGAAAATTATCATCAGCTAAATATATTAAGTAACGAAATTAAAAACATGGCACTATTAAATCCAGATATTCCTAAATTCTTGGCAAATGCTAAAAAATTTTCGATGTTTATTGAAGTATTTAATGAATTTAAAAATGTAATAAATTTGGAGAAAAATTTGAAAGATAAAAAATTCAGGAAAAAGCTTGAAGTAGGTAAAGGGTTGGTTATTCGGGTAGGAATCGAATCACCTTTCTGTTAACGCCAAAATTGGCTGAGGTTTTGCCTTTACTTTTTCTTCGTTATAGATGCCTTTACAATTATTATATTATATTTTAATTATTTATTTATCCACAGAGCTATTATCCACAAGGTTTTTTCTGTTAATGGGAAATTTGAGGGAAGTACAAGTAATAAGAGAATTTAAATTTAAAAAATATTTTCACGAGCTTTTGATTTTATTCTCGAATTTCTTTTGTAATTCTAAAATTTTTTTAGGTAAATGGATTTATATTTAAATAAAAAAAATTATTTAAAAAAATATTATCTTTAAAATTTCAGATTCTCAATGCCCATTTAATTGTTTTGGAAGAAAATAATTTTTTAAAATTAATAAAAGTTGTCGAAATATGTGTAGATATAGAAAATTTAAATTTTAGAGAATTTAAATTTTTTAATATTTACGAAAATTTAAAAGAAAATTGTGAAAAATTAAGAACAAAATGTGATGAATTTAATATTGAATATATAAAGGAAAAGAAAAAAGTTGAAGATTTTAGACAAGAAATTGAACAATTTTTTAAAAATTGGGAAGAGAAATTGGAATTGAAAATAATGAAATTTGTTCAGAAATTGAAAGATAAAGTTAAAAATAAATCTACAAATGATTATGTCAAGTTAAATTAAATTTTAAAAATTTCAAAATTTTATTTTCAAATTTTTTTGAAAATTTATTTTTAAATGAATTCAATATTTAATTTTATTTAAAAATATTTTTAATAAATTTATGAATATAAATTTATACATTTTTTATTAATTTTTTGTTTTGGATATATTTTGATTTAATGATTTGTTTTATCTCATCGCGTTCGGGGTAAACCCTAGCATAAAGGTAAACCCTAGTATAACACTATGTAGCTTCGGCATAATAATTATTCATCTATTATTTAAATTAAATAAATTTTAAATTTTATTTCTTTTCTGACTTAATAAAAATTAATTGATCAATATTTTTAGAAACAAAAAATTTTAATTATTTTAATATTTATTTTCTTCGTTTCCATTCCAATAAAATTTTACTATTCATTTAAGCTATTCAATAATAAATAAAAATTTAAAAAAAAATTTTTAATCATAAAATTTACAAGATTGAAAGTCAAAATTCTAAAAAAAAATTTTATTATTTAAAAATGATAATGATATAACTAACAATGTTTACAAATTGATATAACGGAGGAATAGAGATAAGCAATATTAAAATTGATGTTTCGACATTAGCTTCAAAAATAATTTTATTATTCTAACATTTTTGACTCTCGGCTTCATAGAATAATTTTACTTTATTTCCTCTTTTACTCCACGTATTCCACGTTTAAGAAAGAATATTAAAAACAATTATTTTTATTTTTAGAAGGAAATTCAGTGTTGGAATTAAGCAAAAAGAGAGTTTTAGTCTTCAAAAAATTCTCACATAAATTGAGGTCAAATTTTATAGGAAATCATTCATAAATATTAATTTTAAAAAATAATTTAATAAAATAAATATTTAATTAAAATGAATAAATTGCTTGCTATTTTGGTTGTATTTTTGATTTTTGCTTCTGTTGAAAGCCTATCACCTAACGAAATTCTCTATCATTTTTGCCAAATTCTTTGCCTTAATACATGTTTTTTACAATCTGGTATTGCTTGTCCCAATGGCCCTTATATTATGAATGAATTCAAGAATTTTTGTAGCATATCAGGGTTTTCCTGCGCCACCATTGGTAAATAAATATAAGGTAAATAAATATATTTTAAGGTAAATATGTACAGTCGTGGAAAAAAGTATGGAAGCGCTAGAAAATTTTTTCTTAATTCTTAATTTTTCATTCAAAAAATACGTTCTATATACCAATCGAAAGCTCTATTCGTATCTCAGTTGACATGTTTCTGCATTTTTCATGAAAATGAAAATTGGCCGAGATAATCCGGATCTACCGGATATACCAAATCCCATTTTTTCGGAAAAATTTTTCGGAACAAATTTAACAAACCCAAATGATAAAGCATATTTTTCTGAGTATTTTCCACAAAACCGCTTAGAAATATCTTTTTCCGGAGCAGAGATATGATTTTTTGAAAATCGCATTTTTCCCTTAAAAATTGAATTTTTTGCAAAAATAGACGAAAAATGCCATTTTCAAAAAATCATATCTCTGCTCCGGAAAAAGATATTTCTTAGCGGTTTTGTGGAAAATACTCAGAAAAATATGCTTTATCATTTGGGTTTGTTAAATTTGTTCCGAAAATTTTTTCCGAAAAAATGGAATTTGGTATATCCGGTAGATCCGGATTATCTCGGCCAATTTTCATTTTCATGAAAAATGCAGAAACATGTCAACTGAGATACGAATAGAGCTTTCGATTGGTATATAGAACGTATTTTTTGAATGAAAAATTAAGAATTAAGAAAAAATTTTCTAGCGCTTCCATACTTTTTTCCACGACTGTATATAAATATAAAGTTTAATTTTAGATAATATTCTATACCGAACACTATATTGGATTTATTTTAAGATATTTGAACGTGGATTTGTAAAAATTAGACGTCTAAAAAATAATGGGGGCCCTTCGAGGAGTAACTGACATACAAATATTCTGGAATATGTCTTAACCAATTAATATTTTAAAAACTAGTGATGACATTTAACATAAATATAAAAATTTATTAAATTGGACACCTTTAATTTTAAAGTATTATAGCTCAACGGAAATTTGTTAATTTAACAAATTAAAGGAATAATGGGAGTCATTCAACGAGTAACTATCACCTCAAATATTTTGAGATTTTCTTGGATATGTCTTGTCCAATTAATATTTTAAAATTTAGTAATAACTTTTAACAGAAAATTAAAAATTATTTATATTGAGCGAGCATTTTTAATAAATTAAAATGTAATTTCAGTCAAATGATTGGCTAATTGGAATTGGATCAAAATTTAAAAAATTGTGATTGATTGATGTAAATATATATTTATGTGTTAGATGTTAACTGAATCAAAATAAAATTTCTAAGAGTAACTGATAATCAATCCTTTTTTGAATTTTCTTCCCGTTCATCTTTTGAATTTTATTTGTTCTATTTTTTGTGTAAATAAATGTGCTTTTTCACTCGTAAATTTACGATTAGTATCATTTCCTTTGTTGAAAAAATAATGTAAAACAATAGCTATTTAACTCCTAAAGTATGCAGAAGTAATGGATAATCCGTTTCGGCTGGAGATGCCGATTCGCTCCCAACCGCCGCATAATCTTTTGCACTAGCCGATGGAGGGCAATAGCTACAGCCCAATTCGTCTTTGTTATAATAAATTATGTGAAGGAGCTATGAAAAGTAGAGGCACATTTAACTCACTGCCCGATCCACTTCTGTCGAAATCACACAGCACCTTTTTCAAAAATTTTTACATCAGGCCCCATTTTGCCCCTTTTATTTTTAACATTTTTGCCAGTTTTATAATATTTAATTATTATTTTTCTTGCCTTGATAATAAATAAAATTAAACATAGAAAATTAAAATTAAATAGAAATTATATTTAGAAAATAAAATTAAAAACTTGTTTGCGCTTTGATTAATTAGACGATAAATTTGAAGTCAAAAAATAAAAATTTAGGTTTATTTTATAATTGTGAGAAAATCTTGTTTGTAATAAGAATTTCTGGCTTCTTGACCTTCGAGAATTCTGAAAATTTATAAATGAATTTTTTTAAAAAATACGTTCATCGCAGAGAAGAATTATAAGGTTCTGAATAAAGCAAGCACTCAAACATTTATGCCTCGAAGAAAAGTGTTATTTTCAAAATAAAATATGTAATAGCAAAAGGAAAATGACTAATTTTGTTAACGGTCTTCATGTTAAAGGTCCGTATCAGTGAAACATTTTATCTCTAAAAATTTAAATGAATTGACAAATAATATATTTTTAGATATTTTATTATCAAGCATGTTTTTAATAAGAATAACTCAATTTCAAAAGATTTAATTTTTAAAAATAAATTCTGATTAGTAAGAATTGTAAAATATTAAGTATAAAGATAGCAAGAACAACAATTTTTAAAAATTGTTTTAAATTATGAAATTAATGTTTAGTAATTTTTAATTATTATTCTAACCCCATTAGAATTCTGAAATATATAAATAGCCGACTAAAATATTCAGTTAAATCAAAATTTATTAAAATTAAATAATAAATTCTAAGAAGTCTAATCATTTACATAAATTTTATTCAAAAAATGACTTTACAAAAAGTAGCTTTTTTGTTTATTTTAGTCATTGTATTATTTGATGATGTTACTGATGCTGCGGTAATTATTAAAATTATTTTTGGTTTATTTTCTAGAAAATTATTTATTTAATAATTCTCCAAAAAGACTAAATTGTTAATAAATTTGGCGATCTATAAAGGCCGTTCAAGTTTCATTCCGAAATAGTTGATTAACAAAAATCAAAATACTAGTAGGTGTGTTTGAGCGGATAAGGATATCTTACTTCAGAAAACATTAAATTTGGTCAACTTTTTAGTTTTAAATTAAGGACTGTAATGAATGTGTTGATGAACTTTGCGGCCCTCCATGTCGTAATGATCCAGTTGCTTGTAGAAAATGCTACGACGAAGACAAACCTAAGAGGTGTAAACAATGTCCTCCTGGAAAAAAATAAATAATTTTAAGTTAATTTTTTAAATTAAATAATTAATTAGACTAATTAATTTTATAACGCTTTAAAATATCATCACAATTACAATTTAAAATGAATAGTAAATATTAATTAACTGACAAATTAAATCCTAATTGATACATATGTAATTAAATATTTGTCAATCCCCTTTGTTAACAATTTTTCGTATCTTTCAAAATTTCGAAATGAAAATATTAACAAATTAATAAATTATATAAAATTAAATTTTGTAAATATTTCTATTAATTTTCTATAATATCAAAAGTTATACAAAATAAATAAATCGACGTTAAATAATATTTGTTAAAAAGAATTTATAAATTAAAAAGAGGGAAAAATTTCTCTTTATTTTATTAATACACCTGCGTTTTTGATGTTTATTCAAAAGTAAAAAAATATTTTTTTCTAAATAATATTTCCCGAAATTGGGAATTTAAATGGTTAATGAAATTTAATATAAAAATTTACGTTGAATTGTAGCAAAGAATTTTAATTTTTTTTAAATTTATTATTATTATAATGGTAATTTTAAAAAAATAATATTTTCGGCAAAGAACAAGGACTATTTAATAAATATCATAGAATTAAATAATTTGATACCCAGGTTATCTATAAAACCCGAACTATTATAGAAATTAAAGATAAATATAAAAATCAGAAATGTGAAAAAAATTTATCGAAGCATAAATTTTGAATGGTTAAAGCATCATTGGTTCGGTGTATATAAAATTCATTAAATATTTAATTTTAATTTTAAATAAAATTCATTTTATTAAATTAATCATCTTCTTTTCAATTCTTCTTCAAAATTATTCTAAAATAAAAATTTTTATTTTTTTAAATTATTTCTAAAACCGTTAAGCCGTCATTTATTATTACAACAACCATGGTTTAAACATCCACCTTGGTAATTTTCACAAATTTTATTCCCTCGACATTTCAAATCACATCCATAATTATAACAATTAAAATCTGTACAACAATCTTGAGTGTTGACTGTAGTTATTCCAACAATAAAAATTAAAGCAAAGAGAAATATTAAATATCTCATTTTAATTATTTTATTTTCTAAAATTTTGTTTATTTTTTTTAACTTACCTAATTTAAAAAGTTAAATAAAAGACTGTCGTGATTGCTTGCTAGCCGGCTTTGCATAAACCTTACACTTACAAATTAGCATATTACCTGTAAACTTACCTAAAGAGCTTTTACTGTCTTTATTTTTTAACTTGAAGCATTTTAACCAGGCCTAATAAATACTGCCAAATCCGTTACAATGACGTCTAAAGACTAAAATGATTTAATAAAATAACTTATTTTCCTAAAAAAATTTTGGTCCTATCCTTAACATTCAAAAATTAAAAATTGTCGTTTGTTACGTAAATCTAATCATAAAAGTTTATCATCGCAGTAAATATCTGTTTATAATAATTAGTAAATTTATATTATTTTTTCAAGTAGATTAATTCTACTTTTCAAAAATTAAATTAGGGTTTGACCTTGAAAGTTTGGGGTCGAAAAGCTCAGGATTGAATGGGGCCGGGATCCAACACTAACTTACAGAATTATAATTCTTTTTAAATAAAACTATGAATGCTTTTAAAATTTCTTTTTCATTAATAAGAAAATGATTAAAATTTATTTATTAAATGAAGCTTTCACAATGAAAATTAGATTTAAATATTAAAAGGAATTTATTCAATTTTATTTCCTTTGTTATTTTGTTGGCCACTAAACCATATGATAATTTAAAATTTTTTATTGAAAACAATTGTTTTGGTATGATTGAATTTTAATAAAAAAAATTTTCTTTTATGAAAATAAATATAAAAATTAAATTTTAACATTGGTTTACTAAGAACAACGTTTTTTGATATATTTGTGAAGGAAATAAGGAAATATTTAAAATAATTTCTTAGAGTGGGATCAGAGGTGGGTCGGAATTTCGATTTCCGACTTCCGACGTTTTTTCCTTGCAATTTCCGATTTCCGAAAAAGATTTTGATTTCCGATTTCCGGCTCTTTCGATTTCCGACACCTCTGACTGTTCCGAATCTGAAAATATTTCCAAATAATAAACTGAATCAGAAAGGAATTTCTTTTACAGATTATATTGAAAAATTGAGATAATCTCAAAAATGTAAATGTCACTTTCTAGAAAAAAATCGTGCAATAAATTTAAAAAAAGTAAATTTAAAAAATATAAAATTATAATACAAAGTTCTAATTCGGTGAATTAATTAAGCAAAAAATTCCTAGAAAATGATAAATTCATTAAAGTTTATTAGTAAATAAATGATTAATCTATTTTTTGGGTATAAAAATGTTTGAGAATTTTTGAAATTAAGATATTTCTATGTACAAGATTACTTTTATAAATATGTAATTAATATTTAATTTTTAAATAAATATTAAAATTTAGAAACAAAAATGCGACATTTACTTCTACTAATGTTGATACTTTGTATTATGTTAACTTCAATCATTTATGCTGAAAATTGCTACAATTTGAATTGTGGGGTCAACTGCTTCAGAGGTGGAGGCTATTTAGGAGCTTGTGTAGCAGCTGGATGCTGCAATAGTGGATGATTTGTAAGAAAAATCAAAATAGGATTTTATTATTTCTTTATTTTTAGCTTTTGATTATCCTGCGATTTGAAAAGAAAATTTATAGATGATAATTAAGTGTAATAATTATTAATGTTAACTTTTAAATTAATATTTTAACTAATACGATAAAAATTAATTTAAGTCTTAAATTTTTTTAAGATTAAATATTGTAAGGATAATGCAGATTTGAAGAAGCTTACTAGATAGTAAAGATTAGGGTAGCTACTGAATCATTGAAATGATGAATTTTAGGGGCCAGATAAATCAAAAAATTATCACCCCGAACTCCGACATAGCTTCCCCGGCAGAGCCAGATCCCTGACACTTCCGACCTCGAAGGCTCGGATTGCTTCCCTAGTGAAGATAATGAGTAACTGGGAGGTTTAGATGAGTAACTAGAAGGGGTCTGTAAGTACTTCTGGTTAAAAAACGATCAGAAGCGTTTCATATATGTATTTATAATTTTTTGAATAGATTTTTGAGAAACCGAGACAATTTCTAAAAAATCGAAAGTTGATTTTTCAGAAAAAGATATGTAATCAATTATTTTAATTAAAATTAGTTTAAATGATTGTAAATAAATTTTAAAATCTAATTAAACGAAATAATTATACAAAAAATTCTTTAAAATGATTACGCCATTTTATTAAAGATTTATTATTCTTTATTTTAAAAAATAAATGATTAATTTATTTTTTGGATATAAAAATGCTTGAGAGTTTTGACTGTTTCACTATTCAAATTAAAATAAAATAAAATTTAGAAACAAAAATGAAAAATTTAATTTTAATGTTTTTACTTTTGGTTGTGTTAATGACAGTCGTTTATGCTAACATAATATGTCTAAAAATGAATTGTGACCTAAACTGCTCCAAAGCTGGAGGCTTAAGAACAGTTTGTGAATCATCTAAATGCTGCAAAAGTAAATGATTTATAATTAAAATTAAATTTTATTATTTTTTAATTTTAGAATAATTATCCTGTGAGTTAATTTGAAAATGATGTTGAGAAGTTTATCTTTAGAGAAGAAAAATTTATAGATGATAATTTTATTTTAAATCGATAATTAATGTTAATTACTAAATGAATATTTGAACGACTATAAAAATTAATTCTTGTCTTTAATTGTCTTAATTCTTGTCTTAATTTTTTTGAAGAAATAAAGAATGAAAGAGCGGAAGAAGATAGAAGAAAAGACAAAGTTTTATCGAGCGGACTTGCCTAGGCAAATAATTTTTCTCTTACTTCTTTGTGTAATGGCTGAGAAATTATTTTTAACAATGAAGAAATAATGAAAAGTTAATTTTATAGAAAATATTAAGTGTGCGTAATTCACAATTGCGTTTTAAATTAGACTTAAAGACTTTTAAGGACTTTTTCAGTTTTTCTACTTCGGTAGTTTTGTTTTTAATCATTCTGTATTCACGAAGGAAAAGTTACATAAAAAAAATTAATATATAAAAATTAGACCAATTTTATTTTCTTTACGCCTTTATTTAAAATCTTATTTTATAGTATTTGGTCTTCCCGAAGGAATAATTAATTAAAAAAATAACCTATTTAATTTATACCAATTTCCTTTTCAATTAATCAAGGCGCAAAGGATAGGAAAAAAAAGGGATTGGAATGGGAGAGGGAAAAAATTTTTATCTAGCGCTTTTCTCTTTAATAAGGCTTTTTGTTCATTTATTCGGGCTTACTTATATTTCTTTATTTGGGCATTTTTTAATTTGGGCTTTCTTAATTTTTCTCGTTATCTGGGCTTTTTATCATTTATTTTCTTAACATTTGGGCTTCAAATTTATTTTCTTAATATATGGGCTTTCTATAATTTATTCTGAATATTAGGGCTTCCATTAATTTTAATGGGATTTACTTATACTTAAATCTATTTCATTAAATTATTAGCCCTTTCTTTAATAAGCCCATTTAATTTAGCCCAATATATTTATTTAGCCCTTAATTTTGCCCATTGATTTATATAGCGCTTTTATTTTATGCCCTTATTTTATTTAGCCCTTATATTTAAATTAGCCCATTATTTATTTTTAACCTCCGGAGGACATTCTTACTTGCCGAAGCATCCGCGCGGGGAGTTAGCCTATCGCATTCTACCCAGCTCTTAATCTTACCGGCCGCCCAGGCCAATGGAAAGTCGCAAAATGCGAACCATCCGGTGCTACCAGAAACACAGCACGCCAATTGGAACGTGCTGGCTAGGGCCTTTCCATTTGGGGTATTTAGTAAGACTTAAGTCCGGGATACCTTTCACCTTAAGCTCTGAGGGTTGATCAGGTCCTCAGGCTTGCCTAAGCATGATGTTACCGCTAAGTGCCTTTATTCATATAGGACTTTTTTCATATAGGAAATATATTACATTATTCATATAGCGCCTTTATTCATATAGGAAATATATTACATTAAAGATGGAAATAATATAAGTGTTAGGCCTAACTCTATCTAATGGGAAGAAAGGAAATCGTTATATAATGAACATTAATGGGCGGATAAATAATAAAACATTACAAATATGTTTACTGGGAAAATAGCATTAACGGAAGTGTTAATCAAAGTGCTCTTTAGCCTTTGGGTCTAGAGTCCACCTTACATTAATCTGAATAATTATAGTTGATATTTTCTTAAGTCGGCGAGCACAAAAACCTAATTTGGCGTTGATAAATAAGATAAATCTCGTAGGGTGGCTCAATAAAAGCATCAACTTCACTCAAAATGACTCAAATACCTTTGAAATTTTTGTTATTCTTTAGTCTCATTCTTGCTCGTCTACTATGTACATAAACTCAATTTTTAAATGCTTGTCAACAGACAGCTTAAAGACATTTTGATTATTGAACTTTTAAAAACAACCTAACAATTGTGCTGTATCGATAAAAAGTTAAGCCTTTAACAATGGAGGCTTAATACAATTGAGATTTTCCTGAAACGGGAATACTAAAATATTTTAGGAATTTCAAAGAAACATGTAAAAATAATTTAATAAATATTGGAAGTTCTAAATGGGTAATAACTAAATTATTTTTTAATTCAATAAATCAAAATTTTCTCTTTATTCATTTCTCCATACAATAACTGAATTAGCGTAACTATGTAGATAACTTCCACACAAATTAATTTTTAAAAATTGTCAGTTGAAAATGTTTGTTAATTATTTACGATTTTTATAAGTAATAATTTTCAAAAAGTACTAATTTCAAGGTGATAGTTAAGGACAGATGTTTCCTCAGAAATTAGTTGATAACAAAAGGCTTGAAAAGTAAAAGTTTCTATATAATTAAGAAAAAAGGTAATAATTTTTTCTCAACTTTAAAATTTTTTAAAATAATATTAATTCATTATTTTTAATTTATTTAAATATTTCCAATAATTAAAAAAAATATTTTAAATAAATTACAGAAAAAGTTTCATAATTATAAAATGAATCAAACTCAATGTATTGCTGCTGAGGCATCTGTCCTCAACACAGAATTTAATATCATACGAATATTGTTTATAACTTTAGGAGCAATTATTATTGGACTCCTTTTTCACGTTATTTGGTCTTACAAAACAAAATCAGTGAAATTGCATACAAATATTATTGTATGTAGGATTTTATTTATATGAGATTTTTTAACCAGGATACTAGCCAGGATGGTTGAAAAGTTATTAAGACTTGTGACTGGCTCATGATAGGATTTTGCGCGGGATTTTAAAATATCACTCTTGCAGTCAGCCCATGTAATCTTGGTCCTAAAAATCTTTAAAGAAAATCACTCATGAGGGATGCCGCAAAGATGTTTCAGTTACTAATTAAGATTTTTTTAATTCCTCGGTTCTCTGTAATAATTCAATATTTGAGTTTCTAATCTTGTAGTGCCTGCTTTGCATATCCTTTATTGTTGATAATAAAATTATTTTTAATATTTAAGATATTAATTTGCAATGTACTTTTTCTTTATGCAATTTTTGTATTGTCATTTATGCTTGAAGCTTCTATGAACTTTGTTAGTTAAAATTCTTAAAATCTAACTTGAAAAAATTTCGTAATACTAAACAGAAAACAAATGGGTCAAACCATATGTCATTCGAAATAGCTCGTCGAGTTGAGTCGAATGGTGAGAAATTTTTGTGCGGACTCATACAGGGGCTGAGATATAGGGCAATAGGTATCGAAAAACCATAGAGGGCTCAATTTTGGGGTGAAAAATTCGAATATGCAAATAATAGTTCATTCGAAAAAGCTCCTCGAGCTGAGTCGAATGACACCAAAATCAACTCGAGATCTTGATTCTAAGCCGAGATAATGCGACTCAAAATGTTCATCGTAAACCTAAGGGCATCGGCGAGGAGTCAACGGTCGCTGGATTCTGGGCTTGTGACTTAATCCTATTCCTTTCATCGATAAAGTGGGCATGCCTGGCTTCCTCCGATGGAACACAAACCTCCACGGAGACCATAGGCAAGGAGCTAAAACAAACAAGCATAACTTTGTCAAATCAAGTCAGATTTTGTTGATTTTGTTGTTTAAGGAGTTCTTTCGAATAAGCTTTTATTTGCATATTCGAATTTTTCACCTCAAAATTGAGCTTACTCCCCCCTGGTTTTTCGATCTTTGCGGACCATATCTCAGCCCCTGTATGAGTTTCACCTTTCGACTCAACACGACGAGCTCTTTCGAATGACATATACATAGTTTGACCATTTTGCCTTTTGTTTAGTATTCCGAAATTATACCATCAAACTTAATTTTAGTTTGTTTTATTTACATATTCGGATCCATGTGATTGTTTAATTCAAGTTTGGTTAGTTTATTTTCTTAAAATGCCAGCCTATATTTATAATTGTGCTTCCCCTATGTTACATTTTTTTATAATGATTGAACGTGTTTTGGCTACTGTTTATGCTAAAATTTATGAAAATCAAGGCAAAAAGTTTGGTATTATCAGTACAATTATTGTGGTAAAATTTTATTTTGAATTTAAAAAATTTTTTCAAAATTTTTAGTGGGGTATAACCTTAATCTATTGTCTTTACATTTATATTACAACAAGAATGGACACTAACACATTTGGTCATCCAATGGTTTATATTTCATTAACAAGCATTTATAATTCTCAAGTACTTATTTATTCTCCCTTTGTTTTCTTGTTTTTTGGAATATGCATTTCTATAGCTGATTATTTTTTAATTCTTCGGAATCGAAAAATAAAATCAAATTTGTAAGTACAGGACCGGACCTGAATTTAGATACCACAAAATCGGATGGAGTGTACTTAGCAATGGATACTTAGCTTTAACTACTTTCTCGTTTAGACATAAGCAAAACCCCTATGTTTTGATAGCTAGTAGCTTTATGAGCATTTTTCAGTCCAAATGGGGTATCTAAAATTGAGGTCCTAATGTAGGTATACATATTTGTAAATAATTTAATTATTAAAGTTTCAACTCCTCAACAAACAATTACAGTTTAAGTAAGAGTTATCAAACTAAACAAAACATCCTTCTAATGCGAACAATTTTTCCTCTGGATTTTTCTTATTCCTTTGTTTTTGCATTATTTGATATTCTTTCGACCGTTATACGATACAATCGCGATGACTACAACATGCTTGCTTTTGTCCGAAATTTTGAAGGCATAATATTGGTAATTATATTACTTTCTGGTCACTCTGTATAAACTTAACTTGTTATTTCTTAATTGAGTGGACGCATTTGGATCTTTAAACAATGTTCACTAACAAGATTTCCAATCAAGGGAACAACATTCCCTTGATTGAAATAGTCATCATTTTAAAATCATCATTCTTTATAAAAAATACAGAGAAGTGAGAAAATCCCAAAAGTACAAAACCGAAATAAAAAAATTTGCCTGAGCTAGATATGCTCTTTCAAAAGATAATTTTTTGAACATAATTACTGTAGGAGATAACTGGAATATTACAGAAAATATTTTTTAAATTTAAGTTACTTTTCATTCATGCTATTATAACATTAATTGTATATGACTATTTTTTGAAGAAACAGAATGAAATCAAGAAGAATTTTGTTAAAATAAATATGAATATTAGTTCAGAAATATATTTTAAAAATTTAAATCTTGCTTGGAAATAAATTTTTGAATAATTATTTTAATAAAAATTTTATTCTATTTATTTATTAATTTTATTTTATTTATTATTTATAAAATGCCAGAAAATTTAAAAAATATTAGAAAATGTTAAAAATAGAGCAAAATATGGCAAACGTATAAAATAGTACTTGTAAGAACCAGATAACGAGCCGACATAAAAATGAAATTCCCGATTTCTAGAAATTGGGAAGCGGGGCGGCTCTTTCCCTGGTAAGAATACACCTAATCGAAGTTTCCAAAGAATGATTCCCCCTTATCCAATAAGTTTTTATTTTTCGTTGAAATATAATTTGTGGGTAATTTTCGAGTTTTCTCGTGAACCGTGATCACTTTCTAGTGTATTATTGGTGTAATCTTTTAATTTCCCGGCATATTTTCTTTATCTTTCCGTTGGTATGTAAATATTTTTCCACAACAAGAAAGATTATTTTTTAATTTTTTCATTTTATTTTTTATTTACCATTCAAAATAAATGATAAATTTTTATATTTAGAGGCAAATAATGCAATAAATGTAACGTAATTAAATAAACAAAAATATCTTTCTATTAAATCTTTTTAAATAAAATATAACAATATAAATATTTATATACATATTATCATACATAATAAAATTAAATAAACAAGGAAGCATAATAAAAATAACAAAGAAACTGTCAAATCACTAATTTTATTTTTAAATTTATTATCAGTCACGGGGTAAAGAATAGAATTCATTTAGGTTTTAGTTATTCAAATGAGTTTCATGCATATTATAAATATTAAAATAATATCGTTATAATGAAATCATTATAACCCAAAAAGAAATTCCTTCATAATTACACAATACTCTCAACATACCCCCAAACATATTTTTCATTTTTTAGCCCCAAGCTACATATAAAAACCCTTACAAAAATAAATCAAAAATATTTTTAGGACCAAATACATAAGACTGATTTCAATAAAAAATATTTATAATAAAAATGAATGTAAAAACATGTAGGGGTTAATAATATTTCATCTAAACCTTCTACCGTATTTGCTAAAATAATTACCTAGGGTAATTATTGTTTCAACCTCTCACTGGAGGAGGTAGTTAAAAGGGAGGGCTTGATTATTTGAGAGAGGGACATTATTTCAGCATTTACGGTATCTTTTAAATTCTAACTGACAAAACTACAAATGATAATCATAAAATAATTTTTAGTAAAATAAAAGAATGAAGAATTTACTTATTTTCTTTGTCTTAAGTATGGTGTTAGTTTCAATTGATAGCCAAGTCTGCACAGTATTTTTCCCGCAAGTTTGTCCATTAATCTGTAAGGCCTGTCATGGGTGTTTATCTAAAGACAAATTGTGCGAACCTGCTATTGATTTTTGTAAATTTTTTGGATGTGGATGCAATTCGTTACCTCCGGTACAATAATTGGAAGTAAGTTTTATGATAAAAATTTCAAAATAAATTTATTATTTTAGAAAAAATCTTTTGTGTGCGTTTTTGAAGAAATATGTATGTAAAGATATAAAATTTGTTGACACGATTATTAACTCATAATATACAATAATTATTAACAAGAAATAAATTTATTGTAACATTTTAACCTCTATCAAGTAAATAATTATTTCTCAGGAAAATTAAATCCTTTTCTAAGTAATCTCTTGCAATATGTTTAATATACCTAACTACATTTAATTCTTAAGTATAATTAGAACCTACATATACATATGTATTTAGATGAGCAGGAAGTCACATTTTTTCTAAAATCCCCCAAAAAATTTAGAACATAACTCAAATCGAGCTCATGATTGGAAAAAATCCAAGAAAGTCTTGGATTCGAGACTAAGAGTATAATTGATAAATTTACTATAACTTCCTTATACATTTTGAAACACTAATTATTAAGGATGGTTAAATAATGTAAAATAATCTTATGATTATATTTTTTTTCACTCTCGAATGAATGTGAATAAACACCTTGTTATAATGTTTGCTGAGAGAAAAGAGTGTTATTTAACTTAGGTTTCCTTCTCTCTACATATATTTAATGATTTCATTTAACTCTGAAAAAACATTCATAAAAACAATTTCGCAAGTTTCGACCTCGAATGAATATTTTTAATTAATTAACAATTTTAATAATAATTTTCGATTTTCGAGACTATAAATTTTGTTTATTCTGAAGGCTTAAAGAAATTAGAGCTCAATGAATGTGCCTCTGGTTCACTTATCGAATATTTGATTAAATTTATGTTAAACTTAAAATTAAACTGGAAATAAATCACAAATCGAACTAATAATATTTAAATATTTTATTAAATAAAAATGATTTATTTCATATATTATCATTTAAAATTATTTTATAAAACGATTTTTATATTTAATTAAATTTCACAGATAAAGTTAAGTAATTTATTTTGTTTATTTATTTAATAATTATTTTGAAAATTCATTTTAACGCAATTATTTGAATTATATTTTTAAATTAGTTTTTAAGAACACAAATATTTTCAACTAATTGTTACTCGAGATAATGCAGTGTATAATTGACCATGTGCAAATTAGTTATTATCTCTGAAATCAATTCAATTAAAAAATATATAATAAATTATTTCTCATTCAAAATTTTTATAATCATAATCGCTAAATAAAATACTTGGATTTTTGCAAATATATACCTATTTTTGTTATTATATTACTAACTTAAAATATTACACTGTTTTGTGAATTTTAATTTATTAATTTAAATTTATTTATATTTTAAAGCGTTTTTATATGTATTTACATACATAGGTATTTATTTCACAATTAAATTAAATAAACAATTTATGTTGTTTTAAGAGGAACAGTCAACTTTATTTGAAGAAGGATTATTAAGAAAAAGTTGAATATCTTTTTTATTCTCTCTATTAAAGTTCTTTCAAAATATTATTACTTTTATATTTTATATATTAAGGTATAAACTATTATTTTTATTTAAAAGATTAGAATTACTAAATTAATCTGAATTTAGATTTATAGTTTTATTTTTGATATTGTAGAGGATCTGATAAAACCCCAGTTTTTTGAACACGACTTATTTTTGACTTTATGTAAGAAAAGAATATTAAATATTAAAGCTAACAAAATACAAATATATTTTTGAACATTTGTCACCAAAGCTTGTAGATGGCACTCTTCTTTTGCTTCAATTCTCAATTACAATTTAGCATCAAAATAATTATTATTTTGAACACCATATTTTTATTTTAAATTGCATTATTTTATATTATTTTTTGATGACTTTAACGTTAATCTTACTATTAAATTATTTTTTATTTTTATGTTTATTTTATGAGATTCTATTATGTATATGATTTAATATTTTTGAGATTCTATTATATGATTTTCGATTATTAATTAAATATTTTTGTCTTATAAAGCAAATCTATAATGTTTATTATAATTTTAAAAGATTTATATTTAAATTTTCGGGTAGTGTATACAAAATATTTTATTTAAAACATTCAAAGGCTGATCCAACAAAACATGTCCATACGAATTTAAATTTTTATATTACATATGTAGTGTCATAATATAAGTAGTATATATAGGAGTTTTAAAACATTTTTTCAAAACGTTTTAAAACCCCCAATATAAAAACTAAAATATTCAAAATAAAATCTAAAGGTTAAGGACGTTTTTAAAACCAACGTTGCTTAACTTGCCAGATCGGACGGTATAGCACAATTTCAAAGCAGTACAGACGTAGTTACATATGTGTTAAAATTTTAATATAAATTATTAAACATCGTTATAATAAAAAAGTGCTAACTGACTATGTAGCAAAATACTAGATCAAAACCTTTGAAAATGTTATTTTAAAGTATAAAATTTTAACATTCTTACAAGCTCTTAGGGAAAAGGTATTAGTCTACGTCCTAAGTATAATGTTAGCTTCGTTACTCCGATTACAAGCGATTTGGTAGCTACAACAATATCATAGCATGTTTCTTTAACAAATGACCATGCGGAATCGAATATATTTAGTTTATAATACACTACTGAAAAAGTAGGTTTGTATACTTGTTTCCACTCCTTTTCGTTCTCATCGTACTCAAACCAAACATGACCACTCGGTTTTAAGGTTATATTTGTAAAATTAGAATGAGAAGTTAAGTCAGGACGTAAAGTATGCGCAATTGTCTTTGGTTTGAGCGTTCTTCGAAATAAAGACATTTTATTCTCTTCACTCTTTATTATTTTATCTTCACAGTTAACAAGCCCTACTAGTGCAACAAAAATTAATATAAAACGCATTTTTAATATTATTCAAAAAATGTGAATGATCATTTATAGTTTTTATAAATTTCTATTCATTTTTGTTCTTCAACTTCAACAAAATCCAAACATTCCAGAGGATAAAAATATTGATGCTGTCGTCCGCCAACAACGCAAACAAGAGGCAGTTGTGGATAAACAATGTCTATGTGATGTCGAACATAGAAATATTGCCTGATTGTTACACGTAAATATCCTCGTAATGCAAAAATACGATCAGCTCCCATCTTAGTCAATTTACTTGGATATACTTCGAACTGAATATGTCTTAAATGGTTTGTTATAATAAATTTCTTTCCTGGTTTCATATTGTTGTCTGAGAATGTTTTTTGACCAATTCCACTGATGGCAACATCCTCATTTGTCATACTAGTAAGTGATTGAAGGAATTGAATATTTTCCTTGTATTTTTTTCGCATTGCTATGTGCAAAGATTCTGGTCTACATCCTCCATTGAATTTACAAAGTAACTGAAGAAGCGAACCCGTTTTTAAGGGCGGAGATATTTTGGAAGATTCACTTTTTTCTATCGAGGCGTCGCTTGTTCGCATGTTGTTCATCCTCCGTTTTTATTATTAATGACTTATATACTAAGGGGTCCTTTAGCAAACCTAATTCCGGGGAGTTCGCCGTTTCCATTTCTTCTTAAATTTACATGTGCTTTAAACACTACGGCCAAAACAAAAATTAGTACCAAATCGAGCACATACGCTATTAATAGAAACATATCTTTATTAGGATTTTCTGAAGGACCTATCGAAAGGGCATGAGTCCTATCAACGATAAAGCAGGCATTTACATTTGGAGGAATTGGTCCATGAAGAGGATAAAGAATATTACTATCGTTTTGCTTATAAGCGTAAACCACACAAAGGCATAAAATTAAAAAGAACGAGTGCAGCATGTTTACTATGAAAAACTCTCAATTTTCTTATCTTATATACTAATTCCTAATGATAGTTTCTGAACAATATTTCGTAAAATAGCATCACGCCCCTCTGAAGGTATTGAATGTATTTTTTGCAATGTCGACGAAAAAGTATGTTTTGATCGCAATATAAGGAAACATATGCAGAAATGTCCGCAGGTATCTGAAAGAGGTGATTGTAATGAAAATTTATTCTGCTTTACCTTAGAAAACCGATTAAGCATAGATTGACGCATATCGCAATTTGGTTCCTCGGCAAACGAGTCAAAATATTCTAAAGTATCTGGAGTATCTGAATAGCAGGCAATCCAGTGCTCTCCAACCGTACCTTTACGCATCGTGTTTGCAACAAAACAAAAAGGTCTATTCTTTTCAATGTTTGGTATATTATTCGAAGAGAAAACACCTAAAAATTTATTTTTAAGTGTAGGGTAGCGGTATAATATTTTTTCAATTTGAAGTGAATTCATTTTAAACTGATCCGTCAGTACTTAAAACACGATCTGCATTTATGGACAGTATTGCATCGAACTCTCCCATAATTATCATTTCATATCCATCATCCTTTACGGGATGATTGAAAATACAACGCACAGTCGTTGTTCCTTGCCTGATTAATTCTAGTCCATTCGTATCTTCAAGAGTTGAAGTCATCGGAATAACAAAGAAACAGGATGATTTTGAAAATTCCTTCATGCTGATATCTAGAGTTCTTTGGTCAGTGCTTGGCCAATTATCAAGATCCATACCTACATACATATCAGAATAAGCGCGAACAAAGTTGTTATCAGCAAAATCAAGATCATACGAAACGGCGGGGAACTGAAATCCTCCAAATTCTGCCGAAATTGAGCGTATATTTGCATGTTCAAAAGTAAACGGAGACAATGCAGTATTTCCAGTAAATGCTGGGGAGTTTACAAAACAGATTACTAAACGCCTCGGACACGTACTAGTGAACGTTGCATGCGTAAGTTCCTGACGTCCTTTTCCAAGATAAACACTTCGAATATCTATTTTTCTATAAGCATATTTTGCAGGTGCCTGTTCAAGATGTCGAGCGATAGCATTATTCAAAGACATACTTAAATCGACCTGTTTAACAAAAATCCTCATGTCATGAAGACGAAGTCTGTAAGTATGTGTGTTATCTACTAATGAGGCAGCGTTACGAAATTTTGGAGTATGGATTAGAAATTCATCTGAATTTTTGTATATTGTCCAGATCACGTCACTATGCGGAATTAAGAGCTGGTTTTGACGCGCCATATCATAATCTAAATGAGAAAACATTCTACATAATTTACCTTTAGCAAAACGAGAAGCACGAGATTTAAATCCTGATCCATCATGATCATCTTTATCCACAGCGTCCTTATAATAAAGAGCAGCTTCGTAAATACCTTTACTTACCTCTCGATCTGCGCCAAGTTCATGAAGAATTATACATCTATATGCATAGTGTATACCCGAGTCATAGCATTGAACACCATTTATTGAAAGAGTGAGACGACGAATCCATGTAAGACCTAAATATTGAGCAACGCCTGTATATTTATCTCCTTTGAAATCGGCAGCTTCACCGTCTGTGATTGGAACCCACTCCCCGTTCGTTGCATCCTTTCTTTCGATAGATAAAACCAGGCTTAAAAAAGTTTTGCTCAAATCAAGATAGAGCGTGTCACCAAAGTAACGAAAAATGAACGGCCCTGCAGACTGGTTAAGTGCATTAAGGAGCAGGAGTTCCTTGTATGCGGAACGCTGAATACCTACATTAGTAGAAGGAATCTTAATAATTTCAATACTTAATAATTTCACACATTTGGAACAAGAAAAATACTTTACTCTAACTAAAAGGGCCAAAAGAAGAATTCATCTTTTACAAAATAAAAGATTCACTAGCAAGTCAAAAAATAACTTCTTTGCTCGCATAGTCTCCTTATGGAACAAATTACCTAGGGAAATTGTTGAGATTAGAGATTTAAAAAAATTTAGGGAATATACCAAAAGAATTGATTTACTTAGTCTGTCTGGTACCTAGTGTTTTAAAAAAAATTTTTTTTTTTATATATACAAAATATTCATTTTTACATTCAATACTTAATTTTTTTTTTATTTATTTTTTTCTTAAATTTATTGTATTCACAACTTATACATATTTTGTTTTTTTTTTACAATCACTGTCAGTGTACTTTTATTTGTACCTGTGATTGCTGCATAAATATTAAAAAAAAAAAAAAAAAAAAAAAAAAAAATCGAAAAAAAGGTCAGACGATTATCAACCCCTTCAGAACTATCTTTATCAATTTTCTTTAATGTGGTCATTTTTTTACTTAGAAAAAATTAGTTATTATGCTATACTTATATACTCAGAAATTTTCTAAACTAAGTTGATCCCTATAGCGGCGTCCTTTTTTTTCTAAACTTTCGGTAATAAGTTTTGGTTTGCGTTTTCTTTTACCTTTTCCGCATTGCTGGAGCTTTTTCCCAACTTTTTGAAGACCTTTGCTACCGTGTTGCTTCAAGGCATCACTAACTGATCGACCTTGAGAAACATCTTCAAGCACATTTTTACCAACGTTGATTGCTTCTTGGCCGGCACTAGAAGCTAAATTTTTAACTATTGGCATTAGAAAACGCCCTACAGTACCGAACACTCCAAAACCTCGTTGATACCTTGTTCCCTGAAAATATCTACTTTCATCAGTTATGTCGGTATTTGCCCCACCATCTTGAGCAGATAAAAATGGATCCCAGTCTATTTTATCTAGATCTAACGGTACATGTGTCATTTTTAAAATAGAAAGCGTTGAAAATGTAGTGTTAGTATACAGGTTCCCCAATGGAATTTTACTAGTTTTCCTGCTAGGGTACGAATTTCAATAGTAATGTCTGGATGACGTTTACCTAATATACGATGTTGATGCTCGGTCATATATACTTCGGAAATACTATCACCAGGCTTACCAGTTACATTCACAACCCGTAATAGTGGAGCGGTTACGTTTCCAATTATACTATTTTCAACGAGCCTTGGTGCATAAACCAAAAATTGTCGCACACCTCCAGATATATCCGGCATATATTTTGCCACTTGTCCACTATGAACTTTCTCAGAATCAAAACCAAGAGTATAAGCTAATTGTCGGCTTATTTGAATATATTGTACGTTTCCTTGTAAGAAGACATGGAACCTCTTATGCAATTTATCAAAGTGTACTGAAACCCATTGATATTTTGGATCGGCTAGTTGTATATTGGAAAAATTAAGAAGCATTTTTAGATATTCAGGAGGATAGGCATATTTAGCAAAATGCATTTTCTTTACATTAGGATCCGAATCAACAACTCTTATTGTTAACTTTTCTTTGTGAGGTTCTTTTTCCTTCTTTTCATGAATTAGAGGCGCTTTTTCTTTTGTTTTGTCTCATCCACCGTGTCCAAAGAAGCTTTTCAAAAATGAAGGCCTTTCAGTAGGTTCTCCAATTAACATTTCAGGCCGTGGAAGAGATGGAAGTGAGTATGGATATTCACTTTGGATTTTTTGATTCGCTTCAGGATGATTATTGTTTTTTGTTAAATTTGCCGTTGAAGGCGAAATACTTAGAGGATCTTCTTCTGCCAATGAAGGTGCCCATTGCTCCTTTTCCTTATCGGTAATTGTTTGAGATTGCGGCGGAGCCTTCTCTTGGTCATCATCCTCAGTGTCCACTCCGTCAATCATTGGTTCTTCAATGTTTTCTTCGTCTGGTAATGGAGCTTCCCATTGTTCTGCGTCCTCATCGGTTATTGTTTGTGATTCTTCTGGAGTCTCGTCTTCTTCATCAACTTCTTCAATAATTGTTGGTAATTCCTGTTTCTTAATAATATTTTCTTCATCTGATAATGGGGCTGTCCATTGCTCTTCATCCTCGTCGGTTATTGTTTTTGATTCATTCGGAGTCAAGTCTTCTTCCTCTGTTTCTTCTTGTGATTCATATTCGTTATTCACCTCAATATTTTCCTCGGGTAATGGAGATGTCCATTGCTCTTCGTTTGTTGGAACATCATTTTCATCATTCTCCTCAATATTTTCATCAATATTCTCTTCTGGTAATTCTTCATTTTCATCTTCAATACTTGGAGATACAGGAATTGACGAAGTATCTTCGATTGCCGTATTCTGTTTCACAAGTTCCGCGTCAACTTTACCTATAATTTCTTCTGATAAACGTTTTTGTCCCGCAACAGCTTCTTCAACTTGACTAGCTGCTTCCTTTACTTTGCGTTCTGCGGCCTTAGCACGATCTGCGGACTTTCGTGCATCGGTAACATTACCGCGTGCTTCCGCTGCTTTAGCTTCTAGTTGTGCTTCTGAGGCTCTTTTTTCATATTCTAAGCATTCCTCTGTCCATTTTTGTATTGCAATTTTACGATTTGTTAACAAAGTCAATTGTGCTTTAACCCAACCAAGAATATTTTCTGGCGTTTTTTTTAATTGCACCGTTTCCCCTGTCTCCTTTAATGTTATCACATCATCTTTAAGCGCATACTTGAATCGAGCATTTTGCCAATACTTGTAACCATGTTCCATATTTATTTGGGCTTGCTCTGCCAATTCCACACTATTCCTCCACGCCCTTGTAGCTGCACGAACGGCCATATCCAATAAGGTTTTTTGGTCGTCGGTTAGAGAGGGTCTTTCAGCAGGCTCTACGACAGGTGAAAGGGGTGTTATTTTTCCATCTAAAGGAGTTTTGTCATTATTAGATTCTTGTTGCGAATCATTTGTTTTTTCCAATTCGTTTAGAGTTTCAGGAATAAGAGGAGCTTCTGTTACAGGGGTAGTTACGGGAGTCTCCCCTTTTGGAATGTCATCAGTAGATGAAATAGAAGGAGAACTCTGTGTTTTTTCTTTGTTTACAGCAGGCGTATCTTCTTTAGGATTTTCTTTGTCATTTTCACTTGTCGGTAAAGGATCAGGTTGTTGAATAGGAGCGGGTTCTACTGGGGAAAGAAAACTTTTAATTGCATTTATTATTATATTTTTCTGATTTGTTTGCGGCTTTAATCGAACAACAAGGCTGCCTGATACCGAAGATACAAAAGGAAGTTTAGCGTCCTTAACTTCTTTATTTAAATATTGTATAAACTTATAAGCACGGTCCTTTGGCATATCGAAGTAACCTTCTTTTTCCAATTGTTGAATGGCATCTTCTAAAGAGAAAATAACCTCATGATCAGAAGGCAATTTTTCCTCTTCCTGTTTTATATCCGGAGTAGGTGCTTCATCAATAGGTGTAACATCTTTCTCTTCAGTCTGATCAACAGCTGGAGTATCTGGAGTAGATTCCAATTCATTGGCTTCTTTCTCAATATTCTCTTCAGTTTGATCAACTGAAAGAGGATTCTTAAACTTTTCAAGGGCTTGTTTGATCTTCTCTATTTGATCGGAATGTGGATTGAATCTAACCATTTCTATACCATTTACTGCTAGAGGGCTTATAGGAGGTAATCGAATTCCTTCTTTACCTAAAAATTTCATAAAATTAAATGAAATCTGTTTTGTCATATCGAAATAGCCATTTTTTACCAGCTGTTCCTCAGGTTCTAATTGAGCCTGCTGAGAAAGAATAAATTTATCAATAACCTTTAAGTAAATGGATTTTTGATTTGCTGGAGGCAAAAGACGAATATTTCTATCTCCTTCACCTGGACTCAAATTCGTAAGTTTGGGACTAACTGCATCATCCTCTTCAGATAATAGCTTGATAAATTTATTTAGTTCATTGGAGTTGAGATCAAAATAACCATGTTTTTCATACTGATCTCGTATTGAGTCGGCATCTCTTCTTTTACGAAAATTCCCATAAATTCTCTTTTTATTTTCTTCAAGCCTCTTTTCCTCTCGCTCTCGATCCAATTCTTTTTTCCATGTATCAAGCAAAACGGCATTAATGGACTCTTCCAATGCCTCTTCTGAGGCATAGGACAAATCTGGTATCTCGATTCGAATAGGATAAAGTTCATTCCCATATCTTCGAAAAACAGTTATAGATTCTTGTTCTTCAGAATCCCCAAGTAATGAAAAGGAAAATGGATATATAATATTTGATAGTGCAACAGTCCAACTTGAATCCAATTCAAGCGTGTCAGGCATTCGAACAGTAAATTTTGAAGTTGTATTTCCTTCAACGCCTCCTGTATTTGAAGGCAATATCACATAAAATGAGTCCATATTTATCTTCGAACAATATCACTATCGTTAACCCAACTATTAAAATTATCGTTGTATCCAATCCAACGAACAAAATGTTGTTTATGACCTGCCCGTGTACGTGTTTTCAAAATTTCTGCAATACGATGAGTAGTATCTTCTTGTGTGGGCACTAATTCTTCTCTATAAAATATTCCTTCAATTAAATTTCCTTCAAAATCTTTTAATTTATATGTTATGGGTGATCTATTGTCGTTTTTGATATGCACGCGAAATAATTCGTCAGTGTAGTTGGGTAAATATCCCTTTTCGAATTTACCTTTTTCTTTTGTGATACGAACAATTTGTTCTGGCTCCAGTATTGAGCTTGATTTAGTATTTTGTGAAAATTCAGGGCCCTTATATAGTCTATTGAATAGTTTCCCAGCATTTTTAAATGTAACAGAATTTGGGGTTACCGCTGTGGTTCGATTAATACTTGCATTTATTCCTGCAATTATTTTTTGAATAACTTCCTTCCAACGAAGCGTATTTTGTTCGCTAAAATATCTATACAATCTCTCTTTAATTGTACGGTTGGCCCTTTCTGCCATAGATGCATGCACATCTGGACTATAAACTACACGCTTATCTATATCCTTCTTTTTAAAATATTCTTTCATTCGTTTCGCTTCAAATTCTAACCCTCGATCCGTATATAATTTATGCGGAAGTATCCCTTTTGAAAGTTTAAAAATATTTTCGAACGCGTCTATCATATCTTCGGATCTTTTAGATTTGGCAGGAACAGCAAAAATTTTTCTACTTAGTACATCAATACAAACCAAAAGATACTTATACCCATCATTATGTTCAGTTAATTGATCAAATATGGCCAAATCCGCTTGCCAATCAGTGTGCAGGCCGCTTGGTCTAGTGGCTAATCTGGGAAACTTTTTTCTTAAGGGTCTATGCATTGTATACACCCTTTGCTTATGCAGAAAATCATAAACATCCTGATATTTTATTTTAGGATATTTTCGACGAGCTTCTTCATAGACGCGATTTATTCCTGCATATGAAGCGGGAGAATTAAGAGAATAATATATTTTTTCTAAAAAAGTATCTAAAGCTTTTCCCATATTTTTGGTATAAATTTATTTTTTCGCCGAACTAATCCAGGTGAATTTATAGGCATGACTTTTACCAAAACTCTCTTTTTTCTTTTACCGCTGCCTGATTGATTATCGGTTGAACTACCTTCAGTAGTACTTTCTCCACGCGTTTCTTTAATCATCTCTTTCACTAACGGGTCCTTAGAAAGACGGTTAAATAAAAAACTGAAACCTTTTGGGGGCGATGATGTCTCACCCTTTACATATTCCAGAACATCTGTAAAATTGCTATTCTTTACAAGTCTTCCAGGGACATTAGACTCAAAACTCCCGTTCTTACTTATTCTGAATTTTTCTGCGTTATCTTTTACATAATTATCCAATTCTGTGGAATAGCGTGATGCAATAATACCTTTGAATTTGGAAAAAGGAATCGCGCTTTTTCTTTTTGCTCGCGGCAACTTAGGAGTCACTTCAGATTCAGACGGATATTCTGTGTTAGAATATGTTTGAATTTTGCTGGGAATTAATTTTGGTTTTGGTGTAGAAGCGATATTACCCTGCAAGTATGGTGCAACTTCTGGAGAAGGTTTTCCTTCATCAATAATAACTTTTTGTGGCCGATTTTCCAACTCATGTTTGAGCTGACGCCTCTTCTTATATAATAAACTGTATTTCTTTGCTTTTAAATCTTCCGAAATTTTAGGGTCATCGAGGGTTTTCATAATATCGACATCCGTCTGTGTCTTCTCTGTTTGTAGATAATCTCCGCTTTTAATCATGCCTAAAAGTGTGAGATATTCGCTCTCAGGCACCATTATCATTTTCTTTGTATGTTTCATTCCTGAGAGAATTTATGGATTATATGTTCGGCTAAGGCGCCTAAGACGGGTACAAGTATAGCGGCTAGAGCGGCACTACCACCTTGCTGGATTCTATTTCTTGCACTTTTTTCAGTTCGAGTTCGAGCGATTGCCCTATAGAAATCCGCAAATTGAGCTAATTTTCTGCGCTGCTTCCGGCTCAGGGTAAAATTATTCTTCAAAATATTCGCACAAATTTCAACAATAGCTAATATTTGATCTGCGTTTGCTGAAAGGATTAGCGCGTTTTTCTTTTTATCGGAAGTAGTTTTTGCTAATTGTTTGAGAAACTCAAAGTTTTCCTTAACGTATGGGCTATAATTGAATGATGGCATTTTCATTATAAAATGTTTTGAGTGCTTATATATTACAGTGGCAAATATATAGTAGTTTTTTCTCCGGGAAAAATTTTTGAAGATAATCGCATATTTTCATCTGTGTTCGGATGCATGTTTATTAATAAATAAGAAAATCGTTCTGATGTTGCATCTCGATAGGCTTCAAGAAAATAATTAAGCATCTTAGGAAAAAGCTGTGAGCCTAGTGTCCTTACTTGCAACAGCCCCTGAGGGTTTTTTGTTAGAAGGATATAATGGGCATTTGCACGTGCCGTCTTTATATTACGACCGTATAAAGATTGTGTGACAAAAATCACACTTACTCCCCAATTATGTGAACCTCGAGTAAAAAGTAGATCTAAGAAATCATTTGGAATATTGAGCATTAAGTCATCTAAAACTAAGAGCTGATGCTGTTTAATTAGTTCAGTTTCTGGAACCCCGTTATAAGTAGTTATTCCCATTTCTTTAAGCTTGAAGACAGTTTCATTCATTTCTCCAAAACAATATAATATTTTTGAAGGAGGAGGATCTATGATCTGGTCAGCATGCATTAGAAATTTTAGCAGCCATTGGGTTTTGCCACTCCCCGTGGCACCCGAAATTATCATAGTGAAAGGGGCTATAAACATTTTCATTTGAATTTAAATGCTTGTAATTATTTATATAGGACCTAAAATATGTATCAAAAAGCAGTTATTCAAAATGTGGTATCTACAGCCAGTCTGTTAGAAAATAACAACAAATTTGATCTTGCGCAACTTGCATCTAAAATTCCTAATGCTAGATATCGTCCTGAGCGCTTTTCTGCTCTAACAGTTAAAATTAAAGAGCCAATAATGGCTACAGCACTACTTTTTGCGAATGGAAGTATAGTTTGTGTCGGAACAAAATCAGTAAATGACTCTGAAACCGCCATCATATATTTTGTCAAACTAATTTCTGTGTCATCAACAATATTAATTAATATGCGAGATTTCATTATTCAAAATATGGTCTCTTCGTTTACATTTTCAGGAACTCTAAATTTACCAGGTATTTTGATTTTTACTTAAAAAATAAGTTTTAGCTTTTTATGATTCATTGAGGGTTTCTCCGCCCAAATGGCTTGCTAAACACATATCCTACAATCCAGAATTTTTTCCAGGGATGTGTCTAAGACTAAAGGAATCACGAGCCGTTATTATACTATTTACAACTGGAAAATGCATTATTACAGGCGCAAAGTCAGAAGAAGAAATTTACTTAACTCAAAATAAAATTTACAATTCAATTTCTATGTTTATGAAGAATTAGAAAATACTTGCGTTTATTTCAGTTCTTAATTCCATCATTAGTTCACCAAGTTTGTTCTCTCCCTCCCAAATGCTTGGATCACTCAGACAAGGGCTTTTATGACTCAAGCCATTACTCCAATGGAGATTGTAAGCTGAAGCATGTGTAATAAGACCATCCCCCGTTGCACGTAATTGATTGAAAAGCTGCAGATTTTGTGTAAATTTGGCCCATAGCCCTGTATACATTATCTATAAAATATTATTTAATATTTTATTAAAAATAAATAGTTGCCTTGTCTTTAACTGAATTCCACTCGTTCTTATTATAATTTTTCACACGAGTTCCGATTCGTTTTATTGCAACTGGATTATTGAGCATAAGCACTTCTGCAGCAAGTTCCAAATCTCCAAAGAATCTAGCCTTTTGCCAGACGAAATACTGTTCAATTGAATTGAATGACCGGCCAAGCAATGTGAATGTTGTTTTAAAGCGGTTGTCAAATCCACATCTGGGAGAGTTGAATATAAAAATATTTTGTTTTTGTGGCCCAATAATTTCTTCAGGGGGTAGAGAATTTTGTTCATGTTTTAAATGAAGACGTTCCATCATCAGTGAAGCGGATTCTGAAATTATTTATAAATTAATTTTCTATATAATTGTGTACCAATATTGACGTCGCTGATCATATTGAAACAAATCAAACTGAAAATATCTATCAAATTGGCTTTTAATTGGATTAATAAAAGTATATTTGTATTAAAACATTTAATCTAAGAAAAAATTTTTTAATTAAAATTTATTCAAGTTAAAGGATCAATAAGTGGTGCGCCTCTGTATCCATAAGGATAACAATCAAAATTATCATCAACTATTCCTTTGTCGTAGATTGGAGCATATCGTCTAAATTTTGAAATTTATAATAATTAAAAATATCCATTACCTTTTTTGAGATTTGCTTGTAACCTCACCTCTACGCCAACTCGGCTGAAAATGCGTTCTTTCCAGGATGACAGGCTCCTGTTCCTCTCCATACGCTTCAACCATTTTCTAAATATTTTTTGAATTTAGAAAACGCTTGAAGAGTAACCTTGAATTGTTTAAAGTCTAGAGGGGAGTCAACTTTGTCCCAGCAGCCGCGGCATTTTACAATAAATTTAATTTCACCACTATTTTTGTGCTTCATTTTCATGGCATACTGGAAAATATACGATTGTTAAAAAATATTTGTATACCTGCTTGCATCCTCCAGTATAAAATGCAATGATATTCCATTCTCCATACTCGCGATCCATCATACCAAGCATCTCACCTACACGAAAGGGAGGCATTTGTCCACGCCGATGCAAATAAAAGCAGCTATCCGTGTCAGTGTATAAAAGTTTACATCCTTTCTCTTTTACAATTCTTTCCATATAGTCATAAAGCATTATTCGGGCTGTTGCTGTAGTAATCAACGCAATTGCAATATTATATTTGTCATGTGGTCGTACAAATTCACTACGCTGCTTGTATGGAACCGAAAAAAGGTTTGGCGCCAACATTTCTACAGCCCCAAGTTCAAGTTTTGGATCATTGAGAACGTTATGTAGTTCGACAGGAGAGCTAGTTATACAATCCTAAAAATTTGTCTAAAAAATTTTTAAAGTAAAAAATACTTGTGATAGATTACACCGCAGTGCCCATCGTCCCCACCTAATTAAAATATTAGAAAAAATTTGAACTTTGTCTCACATTGAATTGTTGCACGTTTTTGCGAGGTAGCGCATTCCTTCGTTTCTTTCTATCCTCGTTGGATCTAAATGTATTCCATATTCTCTCTGGTTCCTTTCAATAAAATCTCTTTTCCGCTGATTCTCGATCTCAGGTTTGCCAGGGACTAATACACTACTAGGCCAACCGCTTGCCTAATAAAAATTTATAAATATGTGAAAATATTTAAAACCTCAATTTTTAGACGCATCATATCCTGAACATAAGGACGTAATAGTGTGTCGGACCACTGTTCCAAATGATAAATGCTGTATACTTTAGTCACGCGGTATCCTTTCTTCAAAGCAAGTTCAAGCTCTACTGTACAAGTTGTACTAACAAATCCTCGTTCATCATCTTTGTGTGGACACCATTCATGACCAATTTCTTTATTATATTTACGGTTTGCACGAATCGCTAAACCAGGCGATGCTTCCACGGCACAACTACGGCAGAGATGAAAGATCTGTTTATTAATGAATGAAAATTTTTTAGAAAAATATCTACCAATTTTCCATGAATATTTTCAGGAATTACAGGAAGATACAAATCGTCTGGAGGAATTATGAAAAGCTTGAACAGTCCTCTATATGGATACAAATGTTCAGGTTTAGTCCAATTCACATCTTTATTTAATTCCAAAACATTTGGATGTCCTAATCAATATAAAAATTAATTTACTATTTAAAATTTACCAATAGGATAAAATGCATAAAAATTGACTGCAGGATATAAGCTGACAACATCAAAGCACGAGATCTCAAATTCGTCCGATCCTTCCAAATCACATTTAAGCGAAAGAGGACCTGTTCTACCACCCTTAATTTTAAATTTAATAATGAATTGAACAAATCATACATGAAAAGCATCTCTAGGATAAAGAGGACCAATGGCTGGCAATTTATCGAAGAAACGAGACATTTCAGGGCACTCTTCAAGGTCTTTCATTACTTCACATTCCCAAACGGGAATAGTCCAAATTCCAGCTTCCTTCAACAAGCGAATGCGTTCTTCAAGTTTATCTTTATTATACAGCGAGGTCTTTCCATTTAGACAAACTTCATGTGGGCGATATAAACTAAAAAAGGATTTCTTTGAAATAAAATTTTAATTACCATTCATGTCCGTGCCAAGCACATCCAAGGAATTCAATTGCTTGGTCCCATCCGCCATGAGTGCTTTTGATATACCCATCCAGTCGTAAAAGGCTTCCATCGGAAATACGTACCCTTTTTTCACCTTCAGGGCTTTCTTGATGTTGAATTCGAAGCTCTGTTTTGTGAGAAAGCCAGTGAAGATATTTTAAAGCGATTGCAGATTGGTTTGAATCTTTATGATATCCGTTGTCGGGAATAATACCCATTTGGTCCTTTTTCAAATAGTTTATACCTTAAAATTTTCAATATATTCAATTAGGTTTAAAAGCTTACAGAAATGGCGAATACATGCGCTAGCAATTGTCATTGAATTTACAAGCACGTCATCGCGCTTTGCAGGCTCTGTAGCTAATTCAAAGAAAAGGCGTTGAAGCTTTACAAGAGCATGAGCAAGAATGCGCACATCTTGTTCACAATATTCGACAATTTGTTCGCGCAAGCAAAATGACTCATTTTTATTGTTGTTATACCATTCTTCAAATTTGATTCTCCTTTCTTTCCCCATCGAATCGGGGTAATAATATTGTTGGTCAGGCAACCCGTTAAGCCGAACATTCATATTCTTGTTGAAGTTCCAGCCATGCGGAAAAAATGATTTCCCCCCTTCGTCGATATCAAGCGCAAGTGCTTTTGGGAGCTGTTCCAGCTTAAGCATTGTCCAATTGAAAGAATCACGGAACGAAATATAAGGACATATTCCTCGTTGTTTTTTAACAAGCACTTCGTAAAGTTTATTTCCTGTCCTAGTAATTTTTGGCTCGATGCCAAAATATTTAATCAAATCTCCCAACAATAGATGCATATCATAGCGCCTAAATAATATCTATTGAAAATCTAAAAATTGGAAATACCCTCCATAGTGTGAAATAGCATAAGTTCGTCCTGAGCGCTCACGGCCTAAGCCAACAATTAGCCATTCCAAAAATTCACGCAGAGGATTTTTAAAGTCTGCAGATGTCCAGCTTCTCATCCTCGTGGCACCTATACCACAAATTTTACAATTTCCTGTTTCCACATTTTTCCAATTATCACTGCTCATACAGCGTGCGCAGAGCAATAAAGCCTAAATATAAGTATTCGGAATATTAAAATGAAAATAATACCGAAACACAATTTACATGGTGTAATTGGTAATTTTCATCGTTAGGCAAATTGTTTAAAGAAATTAAACCGTCATTTGTCAAACCCTCCCATTCGTCTTTATTTTTAATTGGTGAAATTAGTTCGCATTCAAAATCAAATACTACCTAAATACATTTTGAATTACAAAATAATTTATAAATACCAATAGATAATTTCGATCCTTTTTAGGAACTATTGGTTGAACATAGCATTGTTCTTCACGTTTATGGTAAGATCGACACTGAGAACAAAAATGCACGTAACAAACATGCCCATCTCTGCTGTTATTATTTTGTAAAGAATCTTCAGTTCCACTTTCTTCACTATCAAATTCTTCAGCTTTCTTTTTTAGCCTGTAGATTTGCCCACATATTTCACACCTAAATAAATATACAGGTAAACTTAAATATTAGAATTACCTTTTAAAAATTTTGCAAATTCCTTTGACAATATGCCTTTTATAACATTCCGGGTTTCTAAAGATGTTAGCACATTGTGAACATTTTCGCACATATTGATCAATTTCTTCACAAGGAAATCCAAACCCTATCCCACAACATCTTGAACACTTTGCCGCACATTTTTGTCTATGATTAATAATACTACGGTAAGGTGCTTCGCATTCAAGGCAGTAATAAGTATCCTTTCCATAAAGCGTGTTAAGACTTCTTATTCCAAAATAGTGTCCTTCTTTCAAGTATAAACATATTTCTTGTTCAGCCCTGTCCGGGCTTTTCCATAAAGGACGCATCGTTACGTTATCCCCGAACACTGCAAGACGATATTTTCCAGGAAACTGTAGATTCAATAAATTCTGAATCAAAGGCACATGTTCTTCAACGGTATAATGATTTCCATAAATTGGATAATTTATTTTATTTTCTATCAGTTGCTTCAGCATTTCGTTGATTAATTGTGTTCGTCTGATTTTCGCATTTTTATTTTGACCGTTTACAAGTCTCTGGAATTTGACATTGTTACACGTTGACCTTCCCAAATTTGAATGCAATAATTTGAGCTGAACGGCCAATAAGAGACAATGATTGTTCGCAGGCGGGTTGAGATTCTCATTATGTACCTATAAATTAAAATATGTTTATAATAATTTGCTCACCTGGATGAGATTGTTTGCATCTATTCCGTGACAAATTTGTCGAGGTTTTCTGCCATTGCCTCCCTGTCCCTGCTTCGCCAATTCGACTGCCTCTTCGTTGGAAGGCCCCATAACAATCTAAATAAATGTTATGAATAATTTAGGAAAGTAATCTTGCCTCAATATGAATAGGTTGACTGTAAAGCGACGGTCTGCCCATTCTTTTGCCACTCTGGTCAACGGCATCAAATTGTTCCATTACAACGCTTGGAGTGTTTTGTGCCAAACCGCGATATGGAATTTGAATGGGTTTTTCTAGAACCGAACTTCTAATAATTATTGAACATTTTTCGGATTTTGATCCATCTGCGGCGTCTGCTCTCGCAATAAAGAGGTCAATCAGGTCTTCGAACAGTGCATCGCTTCCATCTGGTGCGTCATCCAAGTTTCTAACGGTAAAAACGTTTCTGAAAAACAAAACTTTTTATAAATATATAAATATTTCTTGCCTAAAAACTCCCATTTTAAATTTTGTGTTTTTGATTCTTTCAGACGCTTCCTCAATGCAAAAATGTTTGGCTGGAAATTTCCCAAAATTTCTAGGATAGCGACGCTGCATCTAAATTCAACTAACAATTTAAAAAACATGGCATCAAATATTGCGTAGTTTAACGCTTGTTTAAGAAAAAGACTATTAGAGGAATATTTATTTCAATCACAATAAACAAAATTTTTATCCTCGAATATCTTCAGACGGAAGCATTTCTTCACTATTCTCATTCATTCCCAAGTTTTCTTCAGACATGGTTAAAGTCGCTGGAGTTGAAGGCCCTGCCTCATCGTCAATATTCATCTTTGACTCCATTCGTGTTGTTATGTCATTCATGATAATATAATAAGATGGAGTATCTTAAACAATATTGCAAAAATTTTTGGAAAAAATTACCTCTCGGAGACATATTGTAAAAGGAATCATATTCATTACATGCATAAATCGCAAATTTATAATCGATTTCATCCCAATATTTGCTTACTGGATTTTTCAGTTCTGAGAAAAGCAAATCCTTTATGACATTTGTAATAAGCTAAATTGTTCATTATTTAATTATTTATAGTAAGAAAAACCGGCGACACAAAGGCATCTTTTTCCTTAAGGAAGTTTTCGTGAATGCGCCTAGTTCCAACGGAATGTCTTCGTTCGTGAAAACGCATGAAGGAAATGTAAAGATTTTCCTTGAGTTGTTCTTCTTCATTATCGAGAAATTTCATTTCGCGTCGTCTATATGATAAATGTCTAACGCGATCT